TGAAATTTGTTAATTTTAATTTAAAAGTGCAGTACCTAATCAATCCAGTCACTACTGTTACGTCACGAAATCACGTGACGTGTCTAACAAAATCGCAAAAGTAAGTAATCCTGTATGTCCATAATCGTTGGGTATAAGCCACATTTTAGAGTACTACTTTGCGTAAGTCTTGAGAGGAATTGTTACCTGCTTTTGTTATTGGATTACGCTTGTATTTACTAAACATTCAAAATTTTAATAGAGAGTTGAGTAAATGTTGTTCTACTATAAAAATGATAATTTATGGACTGAAGGACAGCTTGTAAAGCTTGTTGATGATAAATATGTTTGTTTGATTTGCATATTTGATTGAAACTGTTGAATGAGTATTTTTCCATTGCTCTTTTTTTTTCACCAATCGTAAAATCACTTCAATAAGGATCCACGCAAGATTATACGAAACTGATAGGGTTTTTTCTCGTAGGACGATTTTATATTGTTTTCTCATTTGCCTTCAGGCAACATCTTATCTCAACATCTTGAAAAACATATTAATTAGAGATAATGCGAATCAATTCGGATTCGGAATGTCTAGAGAGGTTGCAAATTGAATATATTACCCCATAAATACTTAACAAAGTTATAAACAAATTAAGATGAAAAAAGACAGGTTATTTTTCACGAATATTTCGAAAACTATATCTTCTAAGAAAAATTAAAAGATGAGAATATTTGCAAAAAATCATTTCGACTCTAAGAATTATCTGGATTATTTACTTGGTGTAATTTCAATGCTGAAAATCGAGTTCCGTTCTACGTCACTTCCTTGGATCGTTCAGCTTTCAATTAAAGTGTAATTTTTTAAATAAAAAGCTATCAAAGTTATTTTACTTTGTATAGCCTTTTTAGACATATACCTAAAAAGATTATATTTTCTCCCTAGTAGATTCTTCCACAGTTTTTCTAACTAGATCACAAATTTTGTTCTCCATTCTGGCTTCCATTTGCTTGAACAGTTCGGTTATTTTCTCCATCTGACTGTCCATTTTGGTATTGATTTTCGGAACTAGCTTCTCGACTAGTGTATCGAGTTGGCCATCATCAAAATTCGACACAGTATTGCTCCTCGTTTTACTCATTCTCACAACTGGCAACAATGTATAAGTACTGCTTTGTTTGATATTCAAAGTGTCGTTTCTAGTTTACCTTTTTTTCCCACTACTCTGTGTACGCTTAGATAATACTTCGTGAGTACTCGAACCACCAAAAATTTGTTAAAAATACTTTGAAGACACTACATAAACTATCGAAACAACGGAGCTCCTTGCGATGCGATGTTCACAGCAGCATGCCTAACACAACAAATAAATAACAAGTGTCAAAAACAAAACATGAACAAAAATATTTCGGGAGATTTTACTTTCGCTAGGTGTTGGGTGAAAAATAATCGAAAATATATCGCAATTTTTCAAGTAATTCATCTGAAAATAAATCCTAATCTAATGAACAATTCACACATTTTACAATGATGATATCGAAAAAATTGCACAGTTAATGACGACCTCAATTGTTGAAATATCGACAAATTATTTTGCTTGCCTTGTTTATTTATTTGTTTGAATCAAATTTAGTAATTGAAGCTTGACCCCCTTCCTGTTGACAGATTGATCTGAAATTTGGTACTCACATTTAGTTTTGATGACAATACAATTTAATAAATTCTGTATCATTGTAAATCCAAGCTACAATTGCCTCGGACTACATATTTTTTCGTAACTACCTAAATATGAATACCAAATGACAGGGCCTGACTAGTAGAATAGTAGTACACTTCAATAAAGATGCAAATTCAAGATGGTGTCAGCTACAAAATGGCGGACTACATATTTTTCACAACTACCTCAATATGGGTACCAAATTGCTGGGCATGACTAGTAGAATAGTAGTACACTTTGATAAAGATGCAAATTCAAGATGGTTGCAACTACAAAATGGCGGATTGCATATTTTTTCACAACTACCTCAATATGAGTTACAAATGACAGGGCATGACTAGTAGAATAGTAGTACACTTTGATAAAGATGCAAATTCAAGATGGTCGCAACTACAAAATGGCGGATTACATATTTTTTCACAATTACCTCAATGTGGGTACCAAATGACATGGCATGACTAGTAGAATAGTAGTACACTTTAATAAAGATGGTCGCAGCTACATAATGGCGGACTACCTATTTTTTTACAACTACCTCACTATGAGTAACAAATGACAAGGCATGACTAGTATAATAGTAGTACACTTTGATAAAGATGCAAATTCAAGATGGTCGAAGCTACAAAATGGCGGATTACATATTTTTTCACAATTACCTCAATATGGGTACCAAATGACATGGCATGACTAGTAAAATAGTAGTCCACTTTGATAAAGATGCAAATTCAAGATGGTCGCAGCTACAAAATGGCAGATTACATATTTTTCATAACTACCTCAATATGGGTACCAAATAACATGGCATGACTAGTTGAATAGTAGTACACTTTAATAAAGATGGTGGCAGCTACATAAATGGTGGACTGCCTATTTTATCACAACTACCTCAATATGAGTAACAAATGACAGGGCATGACTAGTAGAATAGTAGTACACTTTGATAAAGATGCAAATTCAAGATGGTCGCAGCTACAAAATGGCGAATTACATATTTTTTCACAACTACCTCAATATGGGTACCAAATAACATGGCATGACTAGTTGAATAGTAGTACACTTTAATAAAGATGGTTGCAGCTACAAAATAGCAGATTACATATTTTTCCAAAACTACCTCAATATGTATATCAAGTGGCAGGGCTTGACTCGTACACTTTGAAAAGTGTTCAAATCCAAGGTGTGTGCAAAATTTTGTGGTATTTTTTTATGTTTTCTCTATCCTCTTTTGATCGTCCTTGCTGCTCATTTCATCTCGGTTTAACGTAGCAAATCACTTCTCCACCGTTTATTTCACTGGTGTAAAGTCCAGATAATGTTTATCAAGATAAACATTGGCTTCAATATAATTTTTTTCGTCAAAAAGCAACGCTTTATTAACACACGAAATTCCTTTTTATCCATTTTCTTCAAACTTACAAAAGTTGCTTCACTAAAAATGTTTTATCCTACTAACTAATAGTCCTACCACTGTGAAATTTTTACACGTGTGTTTTTAAGGTTAGGGTTAACTGTAAATCATAAGGATGTAATATTAGTAGCGCCATCTGTGCGTTAGCCTATGAACATTTCACCTCACCTGATACTCTGAAGATTCACTGATTTTTTAAAGTATATACTTTGAATATTCAGTTGCTACTTGGTCATTTTAATTTCTGTTCATTTTGATTAGTAAATTGTTCTATTTTGTTTTGCTTGAATTAAGAATTGTTTGCCGTTCATTATGACAAAATGAGTGTCCCTGAAACAAGTCACCATATAATTTTTTTTAAATTATCGTTTAACGGTTGAATTTGTTAACAATTGTTATTAAAATAATGATTATAAGGATTGAAAACATGTCTAGGTTGATATTGTAGTCTCCTACCTACAGAAAATGTTACAGCCTGTTTATCCAAGCTTGACAAAATGAATAGTCAATTTAGGAGCTTGACGAATGTAATAAATAAAAGAGAATGTATCATTCTAAAACAATATTTTTCTTAGTTTCATTTTTCAATAAAAGATTGACACAAGTATTTTTCAACAGGCCCTTTTTCTATGGCTATCACTCTATTTCATAGTACCGTGTGACAGAGTGCAATGTGAATTGCAAACGACTCAATCATTTGTTTCGTCATTTTCGCAAGGCAACAATCAATTCAAAACAGACAACTGGATATTAGTCGAGCTTTCAGCTAATGTTGATGACCGGACTTCTGAAAAAACAGGACACCAGTTTGATGGTGAAGGTTCTGATTATATGCTCCATGAGTCTGGAGTGCCGTAAGGTAGCATTCTTGGACCGTTACTCTTCTCAGTATATATACTTGACGCCTCTTGGTTTACTTGATATACTGTAAGGTATACTTTTATGCTGATGAAACTCAGCTCATTTATGAAAGTTTCGTCTCTGAGGAGGTGGAAAATGTCTGTGGACTCCTCAATCAGGATCACAATACGGTTGTTGAAGCAAGTAGTGATCTTTGCCTCAATATAAATCCCACTGAATCTGAATGTTTCGTTCCATAAATTTTTGTTCCATAAATAAGAAATAGAATATTTATGATGTCGTTTCATAAACGTAAAGGATGAGCCTCTAAGTTAAGTAAGTGAGGCAAAAACTATTAACTTGCTGATACGGAATTGAGATTCGAAATAAATGTAAATACGCTTTTGCAGTGATCTTACTTACTACTTGAACCATATCTATGGCAGCAGGTATTTCCTTCTAACTGAAGTTGATAAAAAGCTTTGTGTGAAACATTGATTCTACCACTCTGCAATTATGCCAAATTATTATCATTATATTTAAATCTATTTCAGTATATACTTCAATGAAACTCTGAAGGCAAAGTCCAAACAGTCTAACTATAACATTAAGTTTAGATTTTACTGCAGTGAGTTATTGTCATTTGTTGAACGAATTGTTCAACCAAGAAACAGGCAGTGAACTCAACGGCGATTATATTAATAACAGATATGTCAACCAGATGTTGCAATTATGTATTTATCTATAATGTTTCTCGTTTAGGTCGACGTAGAAATAAATGGGGAACCGCAAGAAATACAAATGAAATTGGGAGAGAGTGGAGAAGCCTTTTTTGTAGAGGAAGTAGTTGAAGATGACGAAAACGAAATTCCAGAACACTTGGCCACTTCTCCTATCCCCGTTTCAGAGTTCGAAAATATCTTCAAAAATCAGGTGAGCAAAAATCGCGATATACTTTAAATTCGGTATTTCTTCATTTGGAGTATACTTTAAAACGAAGCTGTTTCAAAAATTTGCAATAATAGGTTTTGTCTTTAAGTGATTAGAAAAGTATGTGAATGGCACACTAAGTTTTTGTGATTTCATACCTGAAATTACAATTCATAATTTCTCTTATACATCATGTGTCTTATACATCTTATATATCATGTATATGTATTTATGATATATCATCATCTTACACATCATGTATATGTATTTTCAAGTTTTTTTGTCTTACAGAGGAGGCGTCTCAGTTTCGATTTTGAAGACATATCCAAATTGAATCTAGAAAACCAACAAAATGATTATTCTATACGTCGTAACACGACAGAAAATGAAAACACCAAAACCAGAGAACGAAATTTTATCAAAAGACAAATAGGTCTAGGAAATATAGATATCGGAGAAAATTCCGCAGAAGAAATGACGCTCTCTATGATATCTGGAAAACACAGTAGCGAAGATTTAAGCAGGAGCCACAATGACATATCAGAGACAATTTTTAAAATGGATAGTTTGGATATGGAGAGTAGCAAAGTAAGAATATTCACCTATTACATTCTAACGCTTCAGTTTTTTTGTTTTACTTGCAAAAATAACTGAGAAAAAAATGTATTGTGCTGAAATAGATCCCACCAAACATTGTTTGGGAACCATTATAACAATTCTATACATTAGATCACATAATTTGTAACATTAATATGTATTTTGGACGGATTTTATAGTGAAATGTTTGGGAAAGTACATGAAAATGTTACTAGACAGAAAACGTTATACACTGTTTGGAACCTTTGGTGTAGTAATGAATATCACTGGAGTTTTATCCCAACACCAAATCGTTATTTTTTAACACCTTGAAAGGTGTTTCAATCACCTTCAAAATCCTCCTCTTGAATATGATCACTTGGTGATTGAAACACGTGTCGAAGTGTTGAAAATAACGGTTTGGTGTTTACTGGATTTCGGTGTTGACCTTCGTTGAGCTTGGTTGAGAGTTCAAGGGTACCATCTGACTGATTTGTAGGATATATATAGTCAGGATTGTATAGTGGAAGACTGATTAGTCATTTTGGTGTGGATATTTGCAGTCTGAAACTCTTATGAGGATTTGTGGTGGTTACCGAACTCATTGTGCCAGGTGGAAGGATTTCCGAAAGCAGATTCATGAGAAACAAAAGGCCCTTAGTCACTCATCAAGTCCCAGTAGGACTTCCGTGCAGAGCACCGCACACGAAGAAACGTATAGAAAACCCCTTCGCCAGGGTTTTTTTTCTGGGGTGTAGAACACCTTGTTGATAAACTCCCCGGACTTGGAGGTGTTCAGCTACCTTTGGAGTCCTATTTGGTGATCCATTACTAGTCCATCTTGTTGTGCCCTACAGGGTGATCCATCTTAGTGGTGCTACAGGGTGATCTATCTTTGCGGTGCTACAGCGTGATCCATCTCCGCCGTACTACAGGGTGATCCACCTCCGTCGAACTATGGGGTAGCCTAACACCATATACCGGGTGGCCCAAAAGGAGCACGCAAGTTATAATTGGTTTATTTGAATATTTGTGTAATACTGAGTTATTTAAATATAATTGTTTGCCCTTTTGTTTATTGTTTCCTGTTTGATAAAGTGATTGCCTTTCTGGCTGAATTCACCGCTAGTTGGCAACGTGTTTGGTTTCATTTGTAAAACGCAAATTGAGGTGTTTTCTTCCTTTAACAATTGCTTGTTAACACCGATGCGCTTACGCCTGAGCTCACGCGACGCAAAAGAAATTGTCTTACCTTCCAATACTAATATTTACGATTTCGCCCACACCTACTCAATTTTCGTGGTAGTTTTACTTGACGTATTGTAGTTTTCTTTAAAGCGTCGTTACTACCTTAATTTATGGCTGATTGAATTTGTGGTTATATACACCGCGCTCAATGACCTCTTGTATTGACATTTGAACATCGCGTAGTAGTTGGAATATCGCATTGTTGTCTTAGAAGCGTTGTCGGTTAATCCATGTAAGTTAGGTTTACTTAATAAATCATATTGGGGATCTTTATCTTTTATTTTCAATATCAATTGGTAAGTTATTGATATTGTAAATTACTTAGGGTATTTGGAGGATTAAATTTACCTGGCGCCCATTAATATATATTTGAAATTTGCTAATTTGGTTAACCCACTCCCGTCTCCACTGTTTAGCTTAGTCGCGGATACACATCTGTCTTATTTGTTACCGACAGACGATTTAGTCTCCTCTTGTGGTTTGTGAGGTGACATTTTTGTACTAATAACAATACTAACATAATACTAACTAACAAACATAATAATAATAATAATTCTAGTTTATTTCAATGAATAAGGTTGTACCTACACAGTGATCCAAGTGGGTTGAATGTACACTTTGACAAAATTGTGAAAGACGCCAATTGGTGCATAACATAATATATTACCTATATACCTGTATACAATGAATAATGAACAATTTATAAACAGTCAAAAAGATTTTAAAAAACTTTTGAGTTGTTTTGTTATTGTTTTAAACACAATATATTTTTACAGTTTTTCACGGTCTCGGGCAAAATATTGAAAAATTTGCATCCATTCACTTCATATCTTTTGTGAAAGAGGGCAGTTCGATGGCGTAATGCTAGTAGCAACTGTTTTCCTCTAGTGTTATGGTTATGTAAATGTTCAGCTATATTGCTAGATCTTTGTTTAAAAACATGCACTCAGGTTTCTAGGTTATAGATCCCTGCCACTGTTAAAACGTTTAATTAAAAAAAAACTCAGCTTGAGTCTCTAGAGCCTAGTTTTGTCAATATTCGTATGGCATATTTCTGTAAACACTTTGTTCACAAAGGAGCAATTTCCCAAGTTCAAAATACCATATTTCAGGTGAGAATGGTACAGGATCATCAGCCTCTCTTCACCACACTACACTCTTCACTGCAATTCACTAAGGTTCAAGTTCATTTTATGTGTTGTCCAAAAAACAATATATATCTGGAGTCTAATACTATCTCTCTCTCTGTATCTGTAGAGTAGGGAGGGTGAGTGTAGACCCACAGAACTTCAGCCACATGTGACCCATTGTACATCCTCTCGAGGAGTTGTCCTCCTAGGTCATCGTCCATCCTGTCCTTTCCAGGAAGGTGGACAGCTCACTAGGAGACATCTCCTTTATATTAGCAGGTGTAGGCCAAGACTCGTCGAACACACACTCTCTTTGGCAACCTTGAATTGTCTCACGGTGGCCTTCGCGAAGGTTTTGGAAGGTGCTGCGACATTATTGTCGCTGCATTCCTGTTGTTGCTGTTGTTGTTGTTGCTGTCATTCCTGCCTCCTTCGCTCTCTTTCTCCTTTTGGGCTCGGCGCCGCAAATGCGTTTACGCCTTGGCCTTTGTATTACATCACGAGGTGATCTGCTATGTCCATCCTCATTCCAAGCGGTAGATGGGGGTGGACATTACTGTTCATCCCCAGCCACCGCCTTAGATTGAGGTGAGCACTTCTGTCCAGCCTCGGGATTGGTTTTTGTTGTTTTGTGTTTGTTTCATTCATGTGTTTTCCCACGAGTAGCAAGGGAATAGTTGGTCACCTCTGGCAGAGCCCCGCATTACCAGAGGTAGGCTGATTACAATGAGGTTTCGCTCAGTTCCCCAAGAGGATCGTTCGTGACCGCATATCACCCTGCGGCCATTCAGCTGTCGGCACGATTCCTTACACCTTAGCTTGGGTAGGCTGGTTCACGGTGAAATGTTTTGCACAGGCTTTTAGGGAGTTTAAGTTCCCCTCACCCTACTTATTTCTGCCACTGACCAGGAGTCAGGCGACCCCGTCCGTAAAGCCACATTGGCTTCCCAGACAGGGCCTCCAGTACCCTGGCTGTTCCCCTATCCACCACCTGGGGACGCGCCCGATAGGTAGCCCAACCCACGGGGTCTACTATACTATATCTTGTCTATTATATTTTACAGGCTGATGATCCAAAATCTGAAACNAATAAATAATTTGTCTCCTTCTTATTTCATGAATATGGTCAACTACAATTATGAAATCCATGAACACTATACTCGCAATAACTGCAATCTACATATTGTCAGAACAAATTTTAAAAGTAGTATGAATTCAGTATTTTTTAAAGGCTTCATTAAATTTAATGACCTACCAACTGACGTAAAAGACTGTTTATCAATAAATGTCTTCAAAAGACATTTGTTAAAATATATAAAAGAAACATAACTTACATTTGGATAAAGTTGTAAATCTATGTTTTATATGTTAGTTTTGATTGTGAAATATTTGAATTGTTTCGGTATAAATATTCTAATGTTACCTATATAACTAGCATTACTAAGTAGAAATAATGAATATTATTTGTAAAATAATAGCACGGAGCGATAGAACTATTTATTGTTACTTGTAATAGTTTTAAAATTACTGAATAGCATATATTAGTTACTTTTTCTGTTCTATCATTTCCTATTTTTTTTATTGTATATTAGGGAAACCTATTTCTGAAATAAAGAAAGATTATAATGTTTCTAGTGTCCATTTTTTACTTTTATTGAAAAAATTCACTTCTGCTAGAGATTATAACAAAAATGTATACGAAGTGGAAAAATTTGAAAAAGATCATAGACAAATACTTTGACCTTTTGAAAAAAGTGGTTTGATGACAAATTACTCACCATCAATTTTGAATAAACAAAATATATTCATTTTCTCCGTTATAAAAATTCATTTGATCTATCACAATCGACAATTCTTTTCTAATCCATGAAACTATTAGACTGTTATGCGTGAATATTTGGTACCCATTTATTTATTCAATAATAGAGAAAGTAGGTATTAAATGTGTATAACGTTTCCGTGTTAGGAATCACACGTTGAAAGTTAAGACCTCGTTAGTCCTTAGCTTGCACAAGTTTCTCAATTCCTGAGAGTTGTCGTTCGTATAGGGGCGACAGCTGATTAACGGAAAAACAGATTTTAAAACAGATTTATATGCCACCAGAAATAGATGTATTATATCACTGAAATATAAAGTGAGCAAATCAAAATATAAAGATCAATATGTGTTTAATTTTTTTTATTCTCAATCGACTGATTAAAAAAAAATGAATACAAAATAGAGATCAGAAAGTGTCATTGAGTCAATATTGGTCACTGTTTTGAAATTGTGCCACTTTACTCACATTCGTCGAAATTTGGTCACTACTGTCACTATCAAAGAACTCAATAATGGTAAGAATACCGGATAGAAGGTACCGATTAGAATATGGCTCAAGAGAAATTGGTCAATTTTGGGTAAATGTGATTGGCTAAAAGTGAAAAAGTTGCTCAAAAGAAAAAGTAGTTTACTAATCATATCATTATATGTATATGCATATGTATAAAGAGTTGTAGAAAAAGTATTTTAGATTATCGCGACCTGAAATATCATCTTTTTAATCATAAATCTTCAACTATCCATTGTTATGAGCCACCAAGAGAAAATAAAACGTGACATAAAACGTCTGAAATGAAAGAAAAAAGGTAATAACAGTACCTATGCAAAAACTATGATCTTCTGATCTCAAAATCCTTCCTCAAATAAACCAATAAAATACTCAAACAAATCATCAAATCCAAAGGTACGTCTTCAAGAGGATCAGATGCACCCATAAAACTGAAGAATTGTCTGGTTCTAGTGAATCCGAGAAATATTAATTATTAATTTCCGCTATTCACATCTGTGTTCAGCATTGATGTTATTTCTCCAAAAGATCTCTCGTGCATTTCGCTACATAACGTCACCGGTCCTTTTAAGTTTTCACTAATTCAAAGAGTATGTAAAAATGATGTGAGAGCATACAGGGTTGCGTTCAAATGAGATTTAACTGGAAATTTAATCTTATTATAATAATTAAATATAATTCTTGGGAATTGCCATTTTTCTTACAAAAAACAATAAGAACGATAAAATGAATCTCATATTAATAAGGATTTTTTTTGCAACACATATTTTTACTGAGTTGGGTACTCTGTGTATTCGTGTCAGTTCATGTTTTATTTGGTATTTTCATTGTATTCATTTTTCTTCAATATTCCTAAGATTTAGTTTAGATAAAGGCATGAACAAATAACAAAACAACTGATACTAATGACATATAAATAGAGTAGCCAACATTGAAAAAATACATGTCCTCCAAATGAAATCCTAATCTGATAAGGTCTATTGAATGCATACCAAATAATTCAAACCTTATTTTAGTTGTTATGATTAGGACATTCTTTTTAAAATTGACCATTTTTTTAATGAAAAAAACCTTCACTTTTACTTTGCAAATTTCAGTATCCAGTCCGGCTGTCAAGATATTTCTCTATCGCTATGTGGTTGGGATCCTGAGCCAGATTCTACCAGGTTTTTGGAACACGTCGTTAAGTTCAGCGATTTATGTAACACTCCTGTGTTGTTTGAAAATCCGAATCTGGTTGTAAGAATCAAAGACAAATACTACAATTGGAAAGTAGCAGCTCCAATTATAGCTAGTTTCATGATTTATGGAAGACCGCTTCTGAAGGTATGTGGAAGATAATTCAGTTACTGATTTTTTTTATGTAGAAGGTGAGAGATAAAATGTAATCAAGTATCTTATATAACTTTATTCACAATAATTCCGAACAAAATATCTATAAAAATTGTAATAAACAAGAAAATATGTGAGTCAAGAACATTTCTCTGGCCATTAGAGAAATATGCATGCATTCCCTTTAAAATATATCATGGAATATATAATCCAACGCACTTCGTGTATTAGCCAGGGAAGTAGGTGCTTTCTGATAGGTGTCAGTCCATAACCCTACTGTGTGTAGGTAACGGAAGACTACTCTGAACGAATTGTTCCTTTAGAACTTAGATAATTTTATGGAATTTATCAATAAATTTTATTCAAAATAAGGTGAAAAAACTCAACAAGAGGGTTATCAATAAATAAAACAATTTTTAAGAAGCTACTGAAAATTATCTAATGAAATTTCTTCCCCAGTCATCTATCGATCAGTTGTGCAACATGCATATGCCTGCGGCATTGACAAGCAAAGATTTTGGTCCGAAACAACAACAGGAAACGAAGTCTTCCTGGTGGAGTTGGAGGCGCGGAAAAACTTCCAGAGAAACTACACCTGCGCCCGAGAAGTCTACTGAATCAGAGAAGACTGTAGAAACCAAAGATGTTACTGATATTGCCGAAGTTGCCGTAGAAGTTGTAGCTGGTACAGAAACCACAGGTGAGTTTAATAATGAATTATGATTTTTCAACACCATGATGTTGATGTTATTATTGAAAATATATTCCATCAAACAATGAATGAAGGTTTCAATACTTTTTCCAGTCAGTGAAACTGTTGGTACCAAGGAAGAAACAATTTTGCAACAATCTACGAACTCAAATAATGAAAAACGTAAGAAGACATTGAGGTTGAGTTCAAAACAGATAGTAAGTACCAAAATCCTTTTGTTACAACTTTACAATGATCATTTTCATACAGGCTTCATTAAATTTGAGAGATGGTGTGAACAAAGTGGAATTTAGCGTTACTACAGCTTATCAGGGAACTACAAGGTGTGAGTGTTACTTGTACAAGTGGAAATGGGATGACAAAATTGTTATTTCGGATATAGATGGGACAATTACGAAGTAAGTTTTTTAAAAATTCTTTCCGCTTCAGGAATACACTTCTACTTCTATAAACTGACATTTGAAATGAGGATAGGATAACAAACTTTTCACATTAGTTAACATCTCACAAAAATAATTTCCACAATGCAAACAGCCTTTCTGTATGTATTGTATTCTTTTTGGGCCGGTACTTTAGGATACAAATCAAATATGTTCAATGTTGATTAATCTGATTTTCCACAAAATGTGTATAATGATACACAAATCTGAGGGTAATGTATTAATGATCAGTAATAATGTCACAACATAATTAATTCAACAACTCTGATTCACTAATCAAGAGTTTGAAAGTTTCCCAAAGTACCGTTACTTTATTCAAGCGGAATAATTTACTATTTATAATCAGTTCGAGTATCCCACTCTCCTCAACAACAGAAACTTCAATTTATATACTAATCTCAAATTTGATTAAAAGCTTCATGTTTTTATTTTGAAGTAACATTTGTAGGTCTGACGTTCTAGGCCATATTTTGCCAATTGTTGGGAAGGATTGGGCTCAAACAGGAGTAGCTCAACTATTCAACAAAATCAAAGACAACGGTTACAAATTATTGTATTTGAGTGCCCGAGCTATCGGACAGGCTAGGATCACCAGAGATTATTTGAAATCGATCAAGCAAGGAGATTTGACTATGCCAGACGGCCCCGTTCTTCTGAATCCCACTTCATTAATAACTGCGTTCCACAGGTACGACATTGCATTAATGGATGCCTGAAATTATTAACGTTTTCATAAATTTTCAGAGAGGTTATTGAAAGGAAGCCTGAGCAGTTTAAAATTTCATGTATGTCTGATATTAAGGCACTATTTCCATCCGATTCAAATCCATTCTATGCGGGTTATGGAAACAGGATAAATGTAAGCCATTTTTTCAATCATTATGCAATCATTCGAAATGGGTTATTGGTTTTGTTATAGGATGTTTGGGCGTATACAGCAGTAGGAATACCTATTGTTAGGATATTTACAATCAATCCACAGGGAGAGTTGAAACATGAACTCACAGAGACTTTCCAATCCAGGTGAGTTGTTGAACTCTTTAAATTGGGTTTCTTGGTGGTGGTAGTTTCTGGGAGCTTTTTTGTTGTTATTTTTTCTATCAGTTAGTGATATTTTCTGTTTAACTTTTGCAGTTACTCGGGACAATCAATGGTGGTCAATGACGTTTTTCCCCCACTTTTACAAAAAATTAAGTCAACATATTCAGAATATGAAGATGATTCTGACTCTGAATCATCAATTGTTGAAAAAAAATCAATTTAATACATATCAACATTTTTAACATTAAGAAACGGACTGTGATTTAGTATAGTATTATTACGATATATTGATATCTTTGATATATAAATGGTATTTATGTTTTATAAACATATGTGTTTTGTCGAAACCGGTGCATTTCATATGTGGGTTTCTTGTCATTTATATGGTGCAATTCAACTCATCTATATCACACGTCATCAGAATGAATAAAAACTCATTAGTGGTACGATGGGGCAAAAAGTATATTTAAGTTGAAAATATGTCAGGGGGAAATTTTTTGCTCCTTTCACCCACTACATTTCATCTTCACGCTTCAACTAACCCTTGAAATAACAAAATACATATGTACAACTTGTTTTTAAATAAAAATAATATTGAATTCCGAACAAATACAATGAACATATGTTTGTTAAGAAGTCCTATAATCTGCACCGATCACCTTCATTTCAAACATCTCTTGGGTCGAGAGGTTTTCCTGTCCCGTTACAACTGCCACATATTTCAAATGGTAAGCATAGTGAGTGTGTGTCTAAGAGAACAGTTGCTGAATTGAACGTTTTTTGTTTAATGTTTTTGTATTTTACTGTGAAAAAACTGAATACAGAGTTAACATTTTACCCAACAATACACAATTTCGTCATAAACAATATGTAAGATATTGTCAAAATCAAATTAAATGTATTTTAGATATTGTAATTTAATCACCATGTCTTTCTCAGCCTGTTAACCCTTATAATATTTTTTAGTAATTTTTGACTCATATATTTATTCCATGGGATAAGCGCTTTTAGCAAAGGCAAAAGATACTCTAATGGTCTGTGAAGACATAAGGAAACAGTTATAGTTAAAATATCACAAGTGTTTTACATAATTCAAAGTCAGTTTAAAGAAATGTACTAATTTTTGCTTCTTGCCTCACAGAAAATAGTCAGACTTTTAAAAATTCCTGCTATACAAAATTACTCCATAACAGAGGTGTGTCATGATCGTTAACGCCGATTCACACATAAAAGACGTCGGGCGGAGACCTTGAGAGACTGTCGTCTCTTCCTCGTCTTTCCTTTGTAAACAAAATGATTCAATCCATATGAAAGTGACGTGGCGCCATGCCGCTTTCACGTCGCTTCTGTCCGAAAAAAGTCTGCGCCACGTCCGCGCCTCGTCTCCGCCCGACATCCGTATTAAATGAGTCGGCGTTCGGGTGAATAACTTTTTTATTTTCAATCAACTAAGCAATGTATGTATGTGGAAAATGAGAGAATTAAGTGGGATTCCCACACATAATAAGCTGCTAATTGAAAGTTTCACACACTTTTCACATATCATTATAGAATGATGTGTAAACTTTTCACTGCCTAGGTACTGTCAGTATGCCATAGTACCCGACACCGTAAATAGTAGAGAACAGTAAAACCCCACGTAGAATGAGTGTTATGCTTGACTGAACAATTGAAAATAAACACTTTGGCAGATCATTTTAGGAACTTGATGAAGTTCAACTAATAACACTCGGAATTCTATTGGGAAACTTTATTAGGGCCTGCAACCAATATTACTGCACTATAAAAGGTGATGAGGCAATGGCAAAGTTCCCAGGTTGTTCGCACAGCCAATACTACATTATTGAAACTTGTCCGTGGTTTTATTCCATTGCTGGTGGGCGTGGCTTTGTTTCTATTGGTTGAATTAAATGGTCTTATTTGTTTGCTATTGAAAACAGGTAGCCAGATTTAATTTGTGTTAGTGTCACTATTTTTCAGGTTTGAATTACGTCGGTTTTTGGAGGAAATTTCAAAAATCCACGGCTATTGACACTTCTTTTCATGGTTCCAGTGTAGACAGATCCTCAGGTTGAATGAATCCGGTGTAACCCCGGTGTTGCTAAAGACTCTTTGAGGTCCTCTCTCTGATAGTTTTTGTTGACCTGAATATTGATTCACATTATGCTTCTCTGGAATTAACAATTTGATCTGTAACATTTTCAACATAGGCGTTCTCTCTCCTGGGTGGTATCGGCCGCTTCGTCATACCCATACTCGGTAAGACATTCAAGTTCATAGATAAGTCTTGGATTGATAGATAAGTCTCTCAACCAACGTTTTTATTTCTCCTATCTTCTGTCGTGGCTGGTGGTTAAAGTTTACTGGGAATCTGTGTGTGCATTGGTGTCCTGTACAATTCGGTCTGTAACATTTTCACCATAGGGGAGGAAAGCTTTTCCATTAACCGGCCTCGCTGGAGTTACTTTGGGCCTATTTTTTCTGGATCATATCACCCGCATATTTTACTTCACTGTGCCCACTTCCCGGTTCCCAGATGCGTCAAACTCTCTCTCTGATTAATTATTTCTTCTGTCGTGACTGGTGATTGGAGTTTTTGTTCAGAAATCGATCTGTATGCATTGGTTTTCCATACACTTTACGGCTAATTGACGAAGTATTTCATAGAAACATTCTCAAAATGGACAAGCGACCTGCGTTTCGTTGATGGCAGGATGCTTAAGAGAAAAACAAGAGTTTTTATCATATCTAAACTTCCATAACACAAAAATCAAACTCACAATGGAACGAGAAACCCATTGGGTAATATAATGTACTGGAATCAAGGCACATATACAGATTTTCAATAAAAAGTAACCACCAGGCACGACAGAAGAGAAAAAGAATACAGACGTTAGTTGAGTGAGTTATCTGTGAATCTGAGAGACTTATCTTTGAACCTGAGTATCTTCCCAAGGAACTTAACCACCTAAAAAATGTCTTCAAAGGAAATGGGTACAGTGAAGTAGTATTTGAGAGACCAATATATGACCCAGGAAACTCCAGCTAGGCCTTTTAATGGGAAAGCTATCCACCCCTATAATGATAGTGTAACAGACCGGATTGGAAGAATTTTCTCAAACAAAACGTAAAATCAATAATCAGGTCAATGAAAACTATAAGAGGTTGCCCTAGGTCAGTTAAGGACCCCACAAAACTATTAGTAAACGAGCGGTTTACCACTAAAAGATGTATAAGTACCCGACTCTCCGAACCAATAGAAATTAATGAAGAAAAGAGAAATTAAACTTTCTATGTTTTTTGCCACTTTTATTTGTAACTATTGTTACCGCAGTTTCTTCCTATACGGACATTTTTAAACTTATACAAACAAATACATTATACAAACAAAATACATACAAAACATTATACAAACAAAATACATACAAAACTTATACAGTTTATTGTATAAGTTTAAAAATATCCTTATAGGACGAAACTGCAGTACCGTTAATTACAAATGAAAGTGGTAAAAAACATAGAAAGTTTCGTTTCTTTTTTCTTCATTATGATTTCCTACCACGTAGTAACGGCTACATCCATCAATTTATTCAATAGAAATTGTTGTTTCGGGCAAACCGACTTTTCAGCTGTAGCCAAACATTTAACCAAACAAGGCCCTCACATCATCTCGACTGAAGAAACACAGAATTAATATCCAAGATTATATAGAGAGACAGTAGAAATTCATACACAAATGATGATTCAGTAGAAAGGAAGAGGAAACTAACATAAATAAATTCCGGATACCTGTCATCAATTGCAACAAATGAGTACCTTCAATTCAACCAATAGAAACAAAGTCACACCACCACCAATGGAATGAAACCCGAGACAAAGTCCAATAATTTGGTACTGGCTTTTGAGAACAATCCCAGCACTTCATCTGTTGTCTCATCACCTTTGATAATGTCATAGTAGTAAAAGTCAGGCATATAAAGCTGCAAACCGTGGCCAGCAAATCCGGAAAATAGTTTTTTCACAATAGCTAATCAACTCATTCAAATCCTCCTGTTTTTGACCTAATAAAATTTATAATTTTTTATTCGGGAAATTAGAAGCATGTCAACAATCATAACTTGTTTTAAAAACTTCAAGGCTCAGGAAAAAAAATAATTATAATTATCTAATTTTTTCATTTACAGCTATTCAAATATGAGCATAATAGTGGACCAGTTGTTTCCTTCACGACTTGATGCTGCTAATGACTACTCTCAAAATATTTATTGGCGGGACCCTATTTTACCTGTTGAAGATTTACTAGATTAAAGTACCTATTGTTACTATATTACCTCATATCCTTGTCAAGCGGCTGTCAGTATATAGCTACAAGCTACTGCTTTCGATGTTGATGAAAACGTACTATTGTTAAAAAGTGTAGCGCTTTATTTTTGTAGGGTTTGTCGTTTTGTGATATATAATGGCTATTAAGTTTCATTATTTTTTTTTATTTATTATTGAAGCATATCTTCCAAACTATGAAAATTTGTTGATTAGAAAAAAAAGTAGCAACTTGAATGAAGGATTCTGAAAAAACTGTTCCAACATTTAGTGAAGACAGCTAGATTGCTACAAAAATACAGTTTTTTAATATTTTTCAGAAGTCTTTTTCAAAATACTTTTTCAGAAGTCTTTTTCAAATAGGTAAATAGTACTACTTGATTTATTTATAGAAGGTTGCTAATGATTATAAACCTAAAATCTTCAATTGTCACTTATAAAATGACAAATGTTTTCAAATTATTTGAAAAACTGTAAGAAAATTGTGATTTTTTTTGTTGGCATTGTGATAATTGATGTACCTCCTGAGGTAGATAAAACTAAATTTTTAAATGTGATATAATTGTTCTGTGTTTATAGAGAAAAGTTTTGTTTATTTTTGTGGAAGTAATTTTTGAAATAAAGCATTTATTCTTTGCATCATTCCGAATTCGTGTTTTTTTCATGTATTCATAATCATCACATCACACAAAGTGAACAAGTTTGTATTTCAAACATTCGTTGTGGAATAAAAATCAGATATCATTCACATGAGTTCTACTTTAAATGAATGGTAACAAATTGTACTTACATAGAACACAGTCATCCTCACTGGTATACACCGATGTTTCGCCTTAAGACACTTGAACTAAGGCACTTCAGTACCAAATTGGATAACATTATAGAAAATACACACAGTACGTACATCGTCCAACATTGTTAGTTTCTATTCCACACATTTCAGAAAGTCGTGTACGGATTATCCTTGGAATATTTTGCTGCTGAGCTCGTCGATGAATATGTGGATCAAGCAATTGAAATCCTAAATTTTCTAAGAATTATCTTCTGCTAATTTTTGTTTGGTTATTCGAGTTATAAATTATATAACTATTTATTCCAGCAACATTCATGGCACTATAAAAAATGACCATTAGCCAACGACGAGTTGCACGAGCGCAATTGTAGGCTTCGCACATTTTGTTGGAATGTACTAAACGAGTTTACACTTATCTCTAAAGGCAAACATGATAGATTTTTCTGGTCTATGCAACAACATATGAAGAGGTATCTCAGGTTTATTTTTACGTAATGTTCCGATTGTAGTGAGACGGTGTTGCTTCAGTACCTCAGTTATAGGTACGCTAGTGAAAAAGTTGTCGAACTTGACATTTCTATTTGATCCCAAGATAGGTGAACAGAGACGAGACACCAATGCTAATGAAGTATCACACTGAAAAGGTCCGACAGGCTGTTTTCCTACGTAGACCTCTAAATTTTCGGAGTAGAACATTTTGGCGTTGACCAAGGCATATATTTTGATTCCATAACGATTAGGTTTTTTCGGCATATAAACTCTGAACGGACATTTACCTTGAAATGCTTCCGAGTTTTTCATCAATAGTGGTGTATGCTGACATATTATAATGCTGTGACAAATTTAATACAAACTCGTCGTAGATTTCCCTGATTGGAGCTAACTTGTCTATTCATACTCTTTCTTGTCTGGTAGCTTTATCGTCAAAACAAATATGTTTCAACAAAAACTGAAATCGAATCCGCGACATAGTAAGCCTGAATATGTCCATAGCTATTCCATTGATCCTAAATAAATCTTCAGCATTTCGCCGGTTATTTTTGCTATTACCAGAAATGTATAAAAGTCCCAATAATGCTTTCACTTCTAATAAATAAGTTGGCCTAAAAAAACAATTTTGCGAAACATCTTAAGCTTGCATTTCTATAAATTTGTTGGTGTAGGTAACAATTTTTTCCAATATGTTGGAAGGGCAAGCACGTTTGGAAGCCCAAAGCGATGCCAATGACAGATTCTGGTCCAATGAAGCCGTTTGCAGCACCCTCCTTTGCAAGATAGTCTGCAGCTTCATTGCCTTCCAGGCCAGGAATCCAGACCAGAGACAATTTGTTAAGTCTTCCTATCGAAGAGAGTCGTTTTTGGCAGTTTGCTACCAATTTAGACGTTGCTCGGTAGGAGCCAAGCGCTTCCAACGCCGCTTGACTGTCTGGGAATATTTTTATTGACTTGAGTGAGGTTGAATTTATCCAATTTCTCTGCACACAATTCAATAGAGTAAATTTGCGCTTGAAATACAGTCGCATAAGTTCCTAGGCTGGTAGATAGCTCTGTCCTGGGTCTGCGACTGAAAACACCTGCACCAGAACCGGAAGGTGTTGGTGTTTTTGATCCATCTGTGAACCAACAACTATCTGCTCTTAATATTTCCTTCTCCCGGAGGATCCAGTCCTCTTCACTCGGGAATAGTACTTTATAAGGCAGTTCGTAGTTGACAGTTGGAGGCATAAAGTCAGAGGTCATTTCCAGAATGCTGTGACTTTCAATGTCAACCAACAGTCTGTTGCACTCTGAGTTGAATTGATTTGTGCAATTGGCAATGTGCACAAGTCTGTATGCAGTCCACCTAGCCTCTCTTTCCAGAAAGATGTGGAGAGGAGGTAGATCTGGAAGGATCTCCATGGCCGCTGACGGTGTGGTACTGATGGCACCACTGATAGCCAAACAAGCCTGTTTCTGTCAGCCAGAGAGCTTCGCTTGGGCCGTTTTCTGTAAAGCCTTCGGCCACCAAGCAATTGCACCATAAGTGATCATTGGTCTGACAATCATCACATAAATCCAATTGATTTGTTTGAGACCTAAACCCCAAGTTTTACCACAAATCCTTCGACATGTCCATAGAGACAGTCTGGCTTTGTATAAAACTTTTTCCAAGTGAGCGTTCCAGGTGAGTCTTTTATCAAGGGCAATGCCAAAATATTTCACCTCCGTTCCAAATGGAATGATCACACCATTGAGGGAAAGTGGCGTTAGATCGTCCAATTTTCTTCTCTTGGTGAAGGGGATTAACAGTTTTGCTGGGGTTGACGACATCTGCTCCCTCAGGCACCAACTGTGAACAACGTCCAACGCGCTTTGGAGGATATTACAAGCTACCCTTCCCGACGTGGACCTTGCCAGGATGACAAGGTCATCTGCATAAGCTTGCAGATCAACTTTTCTTCTGTCGAGAGCATCAAGCAGACTATCCACCAGGAGCGACCACAGAAGGGGAGATAGTACCCCACCTTGAGGGCAGCNTTTTAATGTGTTGTACTGACATGTCCTATAAGTTGTTAACGTCTCAAAGGATAAATAAACATTATTATTATTATTATTCAGGGGGGATGCATATAATGCTACCCTCCTGATATGTCCGTCCAGTATCCTTTCAAGTCGTTTCAGCAGGAAGGATGTAAGGCTGATTGGTCGTACCGATTTCATCAAAATGAAAATATCACCATTAAAGTCTTTTTTTAATACGTTCAACATTATTACTATTATTATGAATGTAGATAACAAGAAAAAAGTGTCTGCATTATAAAACATCTTCAATTTCAAACTTGTTGTTGATAATGGAATATCAAATTGAAAATTATATTTCCTTTCATCAGATATGAAAAAAATGTTTTCGACCTATGGTTTGTCAAATGCGAGATGGAAAATTTGTATGAACGATGTTAACCTCTATTTTTATTTGAATATTTTTCCTTAAAATTAATACTAAATATATATACATTTCACAACAATTTTATTGTATTCGTTTAAAAACGATCATTTTTGAGTAATTTCATATTACATATAAATTAATTGCACGATAGCTCAGCCCAGTCGAACATTCGGTAAAAGAGCGCCGTCCGCGAAGCTCGAGAAAAGGATAGTACAAATACGTATCTCATAGTGTGTACAGTGCTACCACGAATCCAGGTAACGTTAGTGCTTCTCACTGCTCTTGATAGCGCCTTATCGCTATCCCAAAAGACAATCTTATTGTGTCATCTGCAATCAACAAAAACTACAGTCTATTTCCCAAGGAATTGAAGATCGGCCAGAAAAGGGAAACCTACGACGAGAAGATATCCAGGTAGGTGCGATCTACCTTGTTTCGATTGGGTTAACACATCACTTCCAGTATTTCAGGTGTTCAACTAACATTTTTGGTCGATGTCGAGCCGGATTGACTCGGTAATGATTGTTTCTCTCTATAATATTAAATTTCATTCAAATCCATTTGTATTGAATAAATTTCTCTCTGCTACTCAGGTATTTGTATAAGAAACAATAAATTGAACTCTGTGTATAATTCGTTCATTATTAATTATAACCAGTTTTTAGTTTTCACGAAAATTTGAACCTATACTGCTCAACATTGCCTATGAGACAGTGTAAGGTTCAACTTCAATTTGGGAAAGAAATTTGAGTTGAATCCGTTCAAGTTCTCTATTCCTGATTTAAAATAGCAATAGCTGCACTGATACAATTGAACCAAAATCGGGACTGTAGAAATGTTGCTTCTGAAAGAATTTTTGAAGTTCTTCAGATTGCTCTCATGGCAGTAGATGATGCCTCATTTCATTCTATTTGGAAAGCAAGATTTACTATTTTAGACAAGGCATATGATGGGTTTAATGATCAACATTACGCAATTATACAACTTCTAGCTACGCAGGGATGATCCCGAACTAGAGGAAGAAAATGTTGTTCTCAAAATGTCGCCAAAGAGTATTTTCGCATGAAGTTTATCTACTCTAACCTCTGACAATGTTCCAACACAGAACCCTCTTCCAAAACAATCAAGCGTTAAATTACTCAAATTATATGTACATACATTTGATGAATTGAGAACTTGGCGGCCAATTCTTGGTCTATTCGTAGTGTCAATTCTTATAACAACAACTAAGTAACGCAACACCCCTTTCATAAAAGCTGTGAGGATCTTGACCTGCTGCAATATTAAGCTCAACTGTGTATAACAGCTCAGTTCGCGTGGAGTTCAAGTAAAGTGGTAATGATAGCTTGCTTTCTTTGAGCTTTTCATCTCCAGTGATTCTTACCCAACGGAATAGAGTAATATGCAAATCAATCATAATGCTAGATGTTAAAAGGAGTTGGTTATTTCGACACTGTGCTCCTTGCAGTTTGATACCTAAAAAGTCGAAGGAAAATAATTATTCTTTATCTGGGTGGAGAAATTACTACAAAAAATGTGACATTGTGAGAAAAAATCTTACCAACGACAGCAAAGCAGTCACTGGGAATAGAAGATTTATCAGTAGAATCTCCTATGGTTACATCCAGATGGAGCTCTTCTAGTGGCCAACTATTAACTTGGGCCACACATTGCCTTGTAGCTGTAATGTATGCCTCTGGATTCAATAATCCTCCCAACCAAACTGGAAAACTCTAAAACCAAAAGTAATAAGAAAATTACACAATTTAATTAACCATTTTCAACCTGTAGTTCCTTTGCACCAGATGTTGAAACAAGTTTGGACACTTGCTGCAACTGTTTAACTCTCTGACTGAAATCAGTAATCCATTGTATAACTGTACATCCTTTTGGTATAGTATAACGGTGCCAGTTGACAGGTATGATCCCTCTCACCAATTCACCTAGCATAGTACGATGATAGTTGGTTTGTTTCTTTTCTCCCTGTAAAACACATATTCGAGTGAACTCTCAAAAGAAATTATGTTGTTAAAAGTTATATTGTTCTTTTCTCAGGCATTGTAAACCATTAATAGATAAATAAATAAACTTTATCTCAAATATTGTCTTCAGTTGTTTCTGAAAAGGGATGTTAAATGGTGGGAAACATTACAGTTAAATAAATTAGAAACACTATATAGTATCTTGATCATTTATTGATTCTTGTGATAACTGTGACTCATAAAATTTAGGCATTTCTAATAAAAAACTGATGCTACAAGAAAGGTTGAACATTATACATCAACAGAATCTCCAAGGAAATTCTCCAATGTGGTCAGTTGAGCAAGAAATTAAAATAGACTGCATTGGATAGAGTCAAAGAAATTTCCAAAATTTGCCAATGGCAAAAATTATAAAGTAAAGAAAGGAGGAATTGAAGTGATCTCTTTGGCTGAATAAATATAACGAGCAGACGAACAATACATTACTTGGGAAAGATTATCATTTCAAATGATCCATTAATATGATCTCTTTGGCTGAATAAATATAACGAGCAGACGAACAATGAATTACTTGGGAAAGATTATCATTTCAAATGATCCATTAATATATGAGAAGGGAAATACTGACCAATTACTATACAATGGAAACCTGGAACTAATCAAACATATGTACAAAGTCAATAGAATGAGAAATATTAGAGAGTGTTCAACAGACTTAAGAGCGGAAGCAACATCTGCATCACTAGCTACTGTATTGAAAAAACATCAAGTAAGCAAGGCTAATTAATTTTTATACCCTAGTCCGTCTCACGAAGTATCAAAACTATAGTGCCAAATGACGAAAATTCTCGAAATAATAATTATAACAACTTCATTTGATTCCAAGAAACAAGACATGTTCATTGTAGGTTAAGCATATCCTTAAGAAGATAACACTTTTATTGCAATACCAAAAACTTTTAAGGGAACACATTTTATAAAAGCAACATAATTGTTGCTTAATGATGATTAATCAATGTACAAACAAGACATGAACCTGTTTTTAAAGCAACGATAAAAATAAAATAAAAATAACAATAAAAATTAATTGGCGCTCCGGGGCGACTTCATTGATTCCAGTGGCGCATTTGCTTTTTCAGCTGCAGGAAAACCCGGAAAAACCTGCAGCACCACATCATAATTGTTATTAGATACAGATATCTATGTTTGGTGAAAACTGTGATCGGTTTGGGTAAAACTAGCTATTGTCCATGACTTCGTTCTTATGGTCAATGGTTTTTTGGGTTCCTCAGATTTATCAACAGTTAAATGTTCTCATGTATTTGCCAATCTTAGATTCATAATAAAATCGATTGACTATTACTATAAATATAGTCTTCAAAGTTTTAGCCAGTACAATATAATTGTCAAAATCGTTACCAAATCGGTTAAGCAGTTTTTGAGATTAGCACACACAAATAGACAAAAGTTCTAACAATCATTGTTTTTGGTTTTATTTCATTAGTAAAGACCCCAATAATAGTTTTTCTCTATTGTCATTAGAGTTATACCTATTTCAATTAATCTATTTCTGATATTGATTCAATAAATATTCAATAGGAAATTTATCTATCATTTCATAATATTTTTCAGACTCAAAGGTGACTAGTTTCCAAAACATCAAAAATTTAGTAGCACTTAACGGGATTTAATGACTATCAAAAATTTTATTCAAACATCTTCAGTTGAATCTCTTCAAAGGATCTTTTGAATGTGAAATGGAAAAAAAAATTCTACTTACTTGACAAATGAGCAATACATCATTCAAATCGTGAAGAACATCTGTGAGAAGTTTAGACGCTGAATTCACCTCTCTCTCGAAATACCTATATAAAGGATCTTTAATATTTTCCACGGTTCTCCTGAGCGTCTGTAAAGAGTCTGGCAACAGTTTTACCCAAGTGTAAGCACTGTTGTGCAGAGTTTTCATCCAAGACGGTCGACCGTCCACTTGCGCCGGGTCTGTGGGAGAATTGTCGTCGACAGAGTAAGCCAGCTCATCGTCATCTTCCAACTGCTGCATTTTCAATAGTTTCCCAATTAAATCAGTGCCTCTAGTAGTCAGCAGCACTTTTTCAGCATTATTTGGCAATCCCAACCAAGCCGGTGTTTGACGATCAGCAAGACTTTCAATCCATTTTAAGAAATGATCCCTTCTCGTTCCATCGGGCATTGTGATGTGACGATTACCACCAGGACCATTATCAATGTTAGCGACAAGCGCGAAATCTCCTTCAAAGCTTCTTGGTGTGAAAAGTTTGTTCAAAAAGGAATGTAAAAGCCTCTGGTCGAAATCATTATCAATTTTACCGCCATATATGGACTGGGAAAGTAGAGTGACTAAAGCATCCCATGGTACTTTCTCAGGTGGCAAATTAGTTCTTCCCTAAAAAATATATTTAGTAATAAACTGTGACAATAATTTATTACAATTTACCATAGCAGTAGCATCAATCCATGTATCCAAAGTATCACAGGCAACTCTTAAGTCCGATTCACTAAATTCATAATACTTTGCCCAACCTAATGGACAATAACGTAACCTTTCTTGAACAATTGCGTGGAACCAAGCTAGAAGGAAATATAGTCTGGCCCTTTCACTAGGAGCCTTCATCATTCTGCTGGCTGGAACCTAAAAAAAAATTCAAGTTATAAACATTATTTCATATCACGATTTAAAATATCCTGTAAAACTTGAATATCAGAAAGAATGAAACAGTGAACAAAATATTTTGATTTGGCCGATATATCGCAAATATGTACATTTACAATAAAGTTGACAAACCATTATTGTATAGTGGTTCTTCGTTAAGGATAAAAAGTTAGCAACTAGCGTTTGTAATCTTTGTATTAGTTACATACAGAGCTGGAGATGATTTGAGAAAAGTATAGGGTTTTCCAACAGGGACTTCCGAACTCTGACAATTGACAATTGTTGAAACTATATCCGTCAAATTAGTTGTCATTTATTCAGTATGGGCGGATATAGCATTCAACAACAGGTTCAAATAATAAAATTGTTTTATCAAAATTGGTGTTATCTTCTGGAAATCTACAGCGCGCTTCGCCCATTTTGTCGAGAGACTATTCGCAATTTCGTGGAAAAATTTGAGTCCACTGGCTCAGTAAACGATCAACCAACACTCGTACGTCGACGAAACGCAAGATCTGCCAAAAACATTGCCGCTGTCTGTGAGAGTGTGCAGGAGGCAGTTGATTTCGCTTCGCTCACAAGAATTCGGCCTTTCACAGACCACAACTTGGCGAATTTTGCGTCGTGACTTGAGCCTGCATTCGTACAAAATTCAACTGACCCAGAAACACCCAGAAACTGAAGGTAAACGACCATAGGTAACGACTTGTGTTTGCTGAATGGGCTTTGAAGCAGTTGGAAACTGTCCCTAATTTTCATCGAAAAATCATCTTCAGCGATGAGGTCCATTTCTAGATGACTGGATACATGAACCAACAAAACTGTAAAATTTGGGATGATACAAATCCACATACGATCCAAGAGCGTCCAATGCATCCCCAAAAAGTCACTTCCATTGGACTGAATTGGATGATCTGGACACCAACAACTGTGGTTTCAACAGGACGACGCTACGTGCCAAACAGCTTATGCCACATTGGATAGTCTGCACGAGCCATATGAGGGCATGCTCATCTCACGTGGAGGTGATGTGAACTGGCCACCAAGATCGTGCAATTTGACCCTGTTAGACTTTTTATTGTGGGGTTTTCTCAAGTCATAGGTATATGCGAATAAGCCACAAACCACAGCGATTCTCAAAGCCAACATAACCCATGCTGAATATTACAGGAGTTTTTTCCCAACACCAAACCGTTATTTTAACACCTTGACACGTGTTTCGATCACCAAGTGATCATCTTCAAGAGGAAGATATTCATTACTACATCAAAGATTCCAAACAGTGCATCACAAATTTGACATGATTTATGCGCCAAAATCATGGAAATTGGACGTTTCAGATGCGCTTCACCCAGAGAAGCTGTGGCGGATATTTGAATGATGTTATATTCCACACATAATGGCATCAATAGGTCTTTCAAACGAATACAAAATTTCAATGATATCTCACACGCACTTTGTTTTATTCAAATTTAAAGATAGGATGCACTTAATGAAAGACCGTATACCTCGACAGTGAATAATAAAAATAATTTTCACTGTAAATTAAAACACTAAAGAAGTTAACTGTTATTAAAATTTTTCATTATTAGATGTTTTTATTTTCATTTGTAGATTTCATTGCAGGTTAAACAATATTTCATTTTAGGGTCGGTTTTATTTTTTTAGTCCTTTTTTGACTCTTTAGCTAAACAGTTTTGTTGGATTTCAACTAGCTATATGAGTACAATAGCTATATGATTAGATGTGTTGGCAAAAATGTACATGAAAAGTATTGGTCAGATTTTTTTTTGGATATTTAGAATCGAAAGAGCCCAAGTACTTTTTTGAGGTGAGTACTTGTACTCGAGTACAAGAAATTTTAGTTCATATCAAAAATTTCTGAAGTTCATGATAAAGCAACAGTCACCTACCGTACTGAATGTCCTGAGAAGGTTAGCTCTAATACCCGGTGGTGGTTCAAAAACAAATATTCTTCCAGCTCTGAGAAGATTGACAGGGAGTTTCGGATTGATTTCCATTGTTAAGAATAACCTGAAGCTGGCATGAGGTTGAAGTGAGTGAAGTTTCTTTTCAAGCTGCACTAACCACTGAGGAGCCAAATGGACATTCTTCAGCATTACCCACCTGTAATTTCAATATTATAATGTGCTACCATTAATATTGATTTTTTTTTCTTCAATTTTTCCTTTATTTATCCCATGAAATTAGTCTGTTTGCATCAGGGATGTCAATAGAAATTAAAAACATAACATTACTTGACATGCACAACAAAAATAATAGAGAAATAATAAAACAATACATTGATGGATGTAGTTGTTACTACGCGGTAGTAACACTGCAATAACTAACGTTATTGCAGTTTCGTCCTATAAGGATAATTTCAGACGAATACAATAACGTTTATTGTATTTCAAACGAAAGTTTATGTCCTTAAAGGACGAAACTGCACCAACGTTAGTTACAAATACAAGTGGTAAAAAAAGTTCGTATTCCTTTGTGAGAATGCTATTCTATAGTGAAACAAGTATCACAAGTTTGTAAACCTTTTGCAGTAAAAATATTACAGTAAACTGTATTAGTAAGTTTTGATATAAGATATTGATAACAAATTTATTAATCCCAACAAACATTACATGTTTGTAGTTCTCTAAAGAATTTTAAAACCATTCGAACTCTTAACCAACACCCAGCAAAAATAAAATATCCTATTTGTCATACAATTTATAAGTGTCCAGCTTTCTCTGATAAAACCCCACAAGAGCGGTACGATTTAGTGAAACAGAGATATGAAATTAGGCCCAGAAGACATACTAGTGAGGTTTGACGTGATCTCCTTGTATACGATAGCCCAGTCAAAGATACTATGGCCCCAGCAGATATAACCACCCTGTTCACTCATAGTTCATCAAAAATATATCGCCAGTGGATTGGTGTTTTTCACGAACCAATGCTTGGTACCGCAAAGGGCAGCCCGTCAAGTCCAGTGGTAGCAAACTTTTTCATGAAATAATTTGAAAGGGCTTTAGAGCAAACGGCTGTGAAATTTAGAGCAAACAGCTGTGAAATTGAATTGTTGGCTGCATAACGTTAATAGTACATTCTTGGTATGGCAGGATAGTGAAGAGAAACTGATATTCTGTAGACAAGAGACAAGTAAATAATATTCATTATTTCATTTAATTAAAAATAATTCAGCTACATATTGATATAGAAAATAAATAAAACATTAACAATATTAAAGCTTAAAATATCATTCAGGCGATAAATATGAATTAGTTCAATGAAGTAGAAGTAAGTAACGCAACACCCCTTTCATAAAAGCTGTGAGGATCTTGACCTGCTGCAATATTAAGCTCAACTGTGTATAACAGCTCAGTTCGCGTGGAGTTCAAGTAAAGTGGTAATGATAGCTTGCTTTCTTTGAGCTTTTCATCTCCAGTGATTCTTACCCAACGGAATAGAGTAATATGCAAATCAATCATAATGCTAGATGTTAAAAGTTACAAATACCAACGTTAGTTACAAATACAAGTGGTAAAAAAACATAGGAAGTTTTATATATCATTTTTCATAGCAAAACAAATGTTAAGAATAATTGATTAAAAATTTAGTTCATGAAAAAAAAACTCTTGAATAATAAGGGTTCATTTATAAAAAAAAAAACTTTTTTGATTTTTCCTAATTTTGTATTTTTTATCGTTTCTCTTAGCTGATGATAAATAAAAACACTCTGGTTTATTGATATGCTGGATTTATAAGACTCTCAACATATAATTCAATCATCTATTTTTTTTCAGTTTCGGTTCTGATTTATCTTTCTATTTTTTTCCTACTATCAACATGTATGTTTCTTAGTAAAGTAAATCGTTCGTATTCCTTTGTGAGAATACTATTCTATAGTAAAACAAGTATCACAAGTTTGTAAACCGTTTGTAGTAAAAATATTACAGTAAACTGTGTTACTAAGTTTTGATATAAGATATTGATAACGAATTTATTAATCCCAACAAACATTACATGTTTGTAGTAGGGATAATGTAACACACATATTGAAAAAAGATATATACTTGGGAAACAAAATAAGTAATAAAGTGTCTATAGTATTAACAACTCTCAATTTCCACAAAATTATCTGTTCTCTAAAGGATTTTAAAACCATTCGAAATCTTTCCTTCTGACATCAAAATTTATTTTTATTTCCATTACAATTTTACGAAGGTCTAAAGATACTGAGCAGAAATTTTAGTTATCATGGTTTTTTATGAATGTCTGAAAAAATTACCTTCCAGTTTTACATGCCATATTGATCGCCCTCTCAGCCTGGTTGAATCCTTCAGCTGAACCAATTGCAATACTCGATATTTGCTTGTTGAGTTCTGCTGCTAAATCATCAACTCGGCTAGAAGCATCAAACCCAGGAACTGAACAGAGCAGAGCAGGTACATTTGATCTGATTTCTTTGTCGACACAGGAAGATAAATCCAATTCTTTTTCAGCTTGATACATGAATTCTGTTCCGAGTACTGTAGAAACAAAATGTTGAGCTGCGGCAATCACACGATCTGGTCTGAATGCTTGAATAACAAGAAGCTGATACATGGAAGTTCCTGTGAAACAAAATGTTATTTCTTTGTAAAGGGGTGGTAAATACTCCTACCTATCGCACTCAATTGCTTCTCTTCGATCCAAAGTTGAGGCACAGCCTGCTCAGGAGTGCTTTGTTGCAACCAAGCACTGAATTCTGGCATTTCTTTGATCTTTTCAGGCAACTTCCTGAATACAGGAAGCCTCAACGAAAGTCTAATAATGGCTTCTTGTTGTTCACTGGTCAAACTGTCCAAAGAAATTCCACTTGTATTATGGAATACTCCTTCTTTGCCTCTAAGGAAGAAACTGAACTCCTGATCCAAATTCGGCTCAGAGGGCACTCCTTTCAAATGAATTCTACATAGTAGCATGGCAAAGGTTAGTCGATCATTATGAAGCATACCTCTTGCTACCCGTTCATACACCACCTGATAATTTTTTTTATGAATTTCACAATCACAACATTTTTTATTGAACCAACTTACCGAAAACAAATCGGAGGTGATAATTTTCAGTCTTGCCTGATAGTCCGAAACTCCATCCAGCTTTGTGTTGTTATGAAGTACACTTCCAAACACATCCAAAAACATCTTAAGTGAATATTGATAAAGGAAATGTACTTGGTTGAGGCTGTCCATGGTAAAGTACGTGTTACTACATGCTTGCGACAAAGGCAAATACTGTTGAGAAACAGTTTCAATTTCCGATATAACCTTGTCAGTTTCCTCAACTTTCTGTCCAATTTCAGCTGCCTCTTGTTTGAGGGTTTCTAAAGTAGTTATTACACTATCGTCATCCAAAATCTTACCCTTTGCGTCGTTCAAAGCCTGCAATAAAGACTTTTCTAGCTGCCTCAAACGCAAATGGAATTCCCCTTGCAATTTCAATAAATCTGAACGTTTGGCGTCTATATCAGGTCTTTCTGCTTTGAGCACCTGGTTCAAGCACTGACTCTGCAATGAACTTCTGGTGACAGTAAAGTTGACGAAGGTGACACGAGAGCATATGTCGGGAGGAAACTCTACCGTCGGATCTCTTGTGGACAAGAAAATTACGAATGACGGTGATAAATCGATATCCTGATCTCCAAGCGTGATCAACACTCTGCCTCCGGTTCTTCTGAGTTCTCTGTTCAATACAGGATTAAGAATAGCGTCGTAATTTTCGACATCTTGCACAAGTAGAGGATTTCCGAAACGTAAAGCAGACTCGAGGTTTTTTCTGAAGGAGTCATCCAGAAAACTAGTTTTTGTGATCTTCTTGTCTTTGAATTCATTCATTATGAACTCTGTAGCCTGCCCCGATGGATCTATTATCAGCGGATATCTGTTGAATCTCTTTAGCATTATAGCATTCTCAGTACACAAGTCATCGGTGGGAAGTGCATTGGCTTGCCACCTGAGCCTTTCGTCAGGATTGGACAAATATTCCGTTCTTGCTATATCTGCTCGATACTGAATAGATGCTAACGTCAGATGCTGTGACCAGGTGGTAAATAAGTTCTGACGGTAATGCTGATCAAAGTAACCGCCATAAGCTATGAAAGCGGCAGAAAGAAGAACGTCACCTATGATAGTAGACATTTGAGACCTGAATGTTTCACTCGTGGCCTCCCATCTCTCCCTTTCTATAACAAGTGATTTCAAAAGAGCTATAGATCTATCAACTTTGGCCTGAACGTTTTCTAAATCAGTCTTGATAGCTTGCGCTTGGGCAATCAACTGTGCGTACTCCTCTTTGTAAGAAGCGATACTTTGCTCCAATTGACTAATAAGATTTTTCACTTCCTCGCCACGTTTCTGGTTGGTCTCAGCCTGTAATTCAAGGGAATTCAATTCCTCTCTCAGTGGTTCAACCTTCTTCAACATATCTGCATACTGAATCTGAGCGCAAGCCCATTTAACTAAGGGGCCGCAGGCATTACTGGCATGGTTGACCTTTTCGAAGTTATAATCAGGATTGCTTAAATAGCGGTTCTTCATTTTTTCTCGGACATCGTCGCTAACGAAAAAGTTAAAAATGATCAATTGTTTGCAAACATTGACAAATGGCATTGCTGATAATGCACCATGACTTTTAGCAGAAAGTTACTTGACTATGTACAATAGTTTACAGGTTCTCAGTGAGGTTAGGATTCTCTATCAGCAATGAAACAACTCTATTTTTGACATGAGAGTGAGTCATAAAAGTGTGAGAAAATGAAGCTACTGCTAAGGTTAATATTTCATTTGGGGTATGTACCAGGTTTTCAAAAAACCCTATTCATGGCAATTTCTAATTTTATACGTAGTTTCGAATATAAGGGCTCAACATTTCTGAAATACCAAATTTCATTTTTGATAATCAACATCGATTACAATTTTTTTCAATTCCTGTTTATAGTTGTTACTTGGTAGTATATATCAATTAGTGTCTTGCCAATGTACTCCCTTGAAGATAAATAAACAAACCCAGTGGGCTGAAAGTATGAAATTTTGATTTTTTTTCGAAATGAATTGTTATAATTGTTAAGCTGAAGGTTTATGTTCTTAGGTTTTCAAGGATTGATGTTCGTACCGAATCGAACTCCAAATTTCAATTTTTGTTCATGATTTTATGAGTACAGGAAACTCAGGTTAGATAAGAAAAAATTATGTTCGCCACCTGAACAAAATTGAAAAATCTGGTTTTATTTATGACTAAGTAAATACATCTTTCCTCCTTATGACGATGTCACCTACGGAATTAATAGAAAACTCAAATATTGCTTATCTGAATATGTAGAGTTGGGAGGGTGAGTGTAGGCCCACACACTTAGGCCACACATGACCCATTGCATATCCTCCCGAGGAGTTGTCATCGTCCATCCTGTCCTTTCCAGGAAAGTGGACATGTCATTAGGAGACATCTCCTTTTTATCGGCAGGTGTAGGCCAAGACTGGCCGAACACACACTCTTTTATTGACGATAACTCCGGACACTCGCATAGGACATGCCTGACAGTTTCATCTTCCTGTTCACACATCCTACATAGAGGTATGTCCACTAGCCCCATATTATGGAGTCAAACATTGCTTATCCAATATAAATAAGGTTTCCCAAGGACTGGTGTTCTATGGTTTCATCTATACTATAATTCCAAAATAGTAGGCACTAAATTCTCAGAAATGACTGACGTTTTTGCTCAACAAAATAAGTGCATATTGATTGGTGATTTCAATTTGAACTTCCTTAATGATAATGATTCTTTGGTAAAAAAATTCCAGAATTTCATTGCAAATATTGGGGTGGAACAACTGATCCATGAATAGTAGTACATTGATCGATTATGTCTTAAGCTACTCAACCTTAAACCAATGTTAGGTCCATGAAATTCCTAAGATTACAGGTCATAATATCGTCACTGTTACAATCAAATCCTGTCAGCTGCAGAAATCTAGCACTTTGAAATTATATAGGGATTTTAGTCAAACAAAACTTCTTTTAAATGAAATATTAATGAATTGCAACTGGAACTTGAACTTGAATGATATCGATACAATATATGCTAACCTTGTTAAGAACATAAGTAAACAAGTCAATATTATTAGTCCATTAAAATCATACAAACAATATAAAAGCCAATTGCCTTGGTATGATCATGAAGTTTTTGTTGCAGCAAGGTATAGAGATGAAGCTTACAAAAAATTTAAAAATTGTAGAACTATGATTGATGAACAGCTCAATTGGGCTATTTACAAAAGTTATAGAAAAGAAGTGGTTAATTTGTTGAAAATGAAAAAAGCTGAGTACTACAAACGGAAAATTGATGATTGTTCGCATGATCCAAAGAAAATGTGGAAATCTTTGAAAACACTTATTAAACCCTTCCTGATGTAATTGTATTTGACACACAGAGAGTGATGTTAGACCAAGATAAAGCTGAAAGCTTTAATAATGTTTTTATTGAAAGTATTCTTGATATTAAAGCAACAATTCCGGCTTCTATACAATGGTCATGTGAAAATCTTAAAGTGATTGGATGCAATTTGTCCGATTTCAAACGTTTGTCACTGAAGGAATTGTAGTCAATTATTTCATGTTTGGATAACAAGTGTAACACTAATATAATGAATAACAAGGTTCTCAAGAGTATCTTCTCGGTACTAGGTCACGTACTTCTTGATTTTGTCAATACTTCTTTGATAAATGGGCACTTTCCAGATCAACTCAAAATTAGTACAGTTGTTCCTGTGCCTAAAGTTTACAATGCAAATGAAGCCTTTAACTTTCGTCCCATAAACACTCTGCCTTCTTTAGAAAAAGTATTAGAGTTAGCTGCTTATANCAATAATATTTCTGAGAATTTAGTGCCTACTATTATGGAATTGTACTATAGTTGCAGTGGAAGTTGTAGAGAAAGATATAAAGCAAATACTCTTTGGCAGTCAATGCCAAGCTTGGCTTTGCAACAAACTGCTGTGGAACCCTTATTTACCTCGGATAAAAAAGGTTTGAGTATTCTGGAATCCCATAAATGACTTTGTAAGGGGAAATCTGAATGCTTATTTTACTCAGGCTTGTTCTTTAAGGATAACTTGAATCCAACAATGCATTCATCGTTCAGTCTAGCACCACTGATGAGAGTTACAGTAGATCACAACCTCGTGGCCTGATATTGAATCACAAATGCCTGGTTTTTTGGGATCTGGTTCCATCTACTTATTTATGTATTAAATGTACAGGTACTTATTAGTAGAGGCAAGCAAGCCCAAGTACAACTATAAATAGAGTAAATTATGATTTATACTTGAGAAAAGGAAATTGAATAGCTAACTTCACTGATCCTACTAGCTAATATCTTTCAATGCTACTGCCAAAAAACATTCGAAAAATGTGTTTGTTTTCTGCTGGAAACAACTAAGCATAAATGCAGTAAAATATAAAAAAACAAAAAAAAACAACAAGCATGCATACCTAATATCTTCAGTATTGAAATTGTTGACAACAGTGTTGATGAAGTTATCACGCATTATCACAGCACGGATTGATTTCCAGTCACTAGCATTTTCACCGAGTAACAAGCAAATGGATTCTAAAGCCAATTTGACAACTGCTGGAGGATTGGACATGGTACGAATTTCAACCAATTGTTGTTTTTTGATTGACTTAACAGCTGTATAAGTGAAAGAAATGCGAAATTAAAATCACAGTTGGAAAATATGTCAATATATAAAAAAAAATTAAGATTAGTAAAAATGAAATAGTTCTGTTTGAAAATAATAATAATATTACATGTAATGTTGTGAATATTGTTGATTTAAATGAGTTCTACAGTTGATTGAATAATAAAGAGAAACACACAGGTTCATTCCAATGTCCTAAAAAGAAAACTAGATATTAGATACAAATGGTTTGTTCTTGAAGTCTACTTTTTTGGAATGAGAGATTGAGACATCATGAGGTTTTTCAGAAAAATACAAAGGAGAAAAAAAATAGGGTCATGCGCCAGCGTGTATCAGCCAAAATTGAAAAACACAGATTACAAGGCTTTCTGCAGCCTTACTTTAAATGTTCGACGCTGAAGTTAACTATAGTTGCTATGAAGTTTTCTCGCATGATAACAGATCTTATTGAACGCCATTCATTGGCATTCTCATGGAGCAATAAACAAACTGACTCTAGCGCCATTTTCACGCTGTGCGGAGGATTAGCCATGGAGCGAACTTCGACTAGATGCTGCTTCTTAATAGACCGAACAGCTAATATTCAATTAAAGAAGTTAGAAGGAATCTTGGTGGCCTCAATATTGATGAACTCACCAGTTTGAGCGTCAATCACAGCAGGTTCTACTTGTTCCAGATCAGCCATTACTTCAGAACGTTTTTGTTCTATATGAACAGTTTGCTCAGCCAGCTGTTGTTGAATTTCTTGACTCTGAACTTTTTTCTTTTCAGCTTCTTGTTGGTCTTTCACCATCTGTTTGAGTTTTGCATTTGCTGCTTCATTTTTGGCTTGTAGCTCTTGGGATTTAACTGCCAAACTTTTTTGCATCTCCTCCACCTATGAAAATAATTCATATATTGATTGCACAACCATAATAGATAATCTACACTCAGTTTCTACCTTGGTCAACCTTTTTACAATACATTCAAAAAAAGGGCACTTACTTGTTCAACAGTTTCTGCAATTTTACTCAAACCAACATTCAGATGAAGTTGTTGTTCTTCCAGGTCTGAGCGTTTCTCATTATGGAGTTTTACGAAATGATGTATGAAATCGAGATAGTGGCGAGGTGTGATTGCCATAGTACGGCTTCCCCTCTTCACTAATCGACTGTTTGCCTTGTGAAGTGTTTGATGGACATAAACACATGCATTTATGACAGCCTCCCTGTGATTAGGAGTTGTAGGTATAAGTGTACAAGCTGCCGGAAAGAAATCTGGACATTTCCAGTGTGGTTTATCCAAATCCAGACGGTTGGTAAACTCCTTCCCCACCTGAAATCAATTCAATTAAGTTTTTGAACCGTAGTTTGCTAACAAAATTTTACCTGGAATAAAGCCCCATCAGACCAATCTCCAAACCAATTTAAAACACACCTATTGAAGAGAGCTGGTGATGTAGCAGCTCTATCTTTCAGTCCATCCGTTGATGGATTCATAGTGAAGACAACATGCAAATTACGCATTACTTGTTGAGTGAACCATTTGTAAAGTTCATCATTTGAATCTAACATTAAACCTGAAATTGGAAAATGACATATTTTTATATAATTTTCTTCAAAAGTAATATTACTGTCTACCTTCTCTTTGAGCACCTTCTTTGCACTGAGTCATCAAAGTGGTATATTCATCTCCCTCAAACAATCCAGGAACTTCACCATTAGCCAGCAATGTGTTCATCCTTTCTAAAAAGCTAGAGTCCAACATATTTGATTCATCCAAAATGAAGGCAATCTTTTCATCTTTACAACCACTTCTTCTCAAAACTGATCGTAAATCCTCGTCGAAATCTTCTGCAGTATATTTGTTATGAACTTTGATTTGGAAAATGGAAAGACCATTCATCCATGCTACAAATCTGGACAGAGTTGTTTTTCCTGCACCAGAGACACCAATCAGAAGCAGATGACCTTGGGGTTGCCTAAAAATTCTATCAATTCTAAGGACGTGATCGAGTACTTCATCAAACAAAACCAGAGGCACATCCAACTCTTCTTCGTAAAACACCTTCAATCTGGCCTTGACATATTCCCTAAGTTGCTCTCTTTCCACTGGCATATAATCTTTTGAAAGCCAGTTGCTATAAAGAATGGGCCTTTCCAATGCTTTCTCACAATTTGCCGAAGGAAAATGTTTCAATGCAACAGCATCAATGTTTTCATTGGTCCAACGCCGCTCGACATCTTCGACAAGTCTGTCCTGGAACAGCCGTAAGGCTTCGTGTGCCCACAGCCGAACCAAACCTTCAACTGCAAGATTATCCAAGGGCCTGAAATACAGTAAATACTCATGTTGAATTGATTGCTCCACTCGAAAGCTTAATAATTAACAAACACCTTGTAAAAGAATAAAATTATTAGTTTACCTAATAGCCTCACATATTCCCCTAACCCATCTGGTCATTTCTCGAGGTGAATATACATAGTGAGGCTGCATATCTTGAGTGAATCTATCCTGAGATGCAAGATAAAATTCTACCATGGCGTTCGTCAATGGTTCAGCATAACCTTTTAGTCCAGGAGCCAAACGCAACATGGCCCTGGTAAAAGTACCATAAATCTGCTTTAAAGAAGTTTCTCCTGGATAATCCACATAAATAACAGGGACGTGTCTCAAAAATCTGTGAGATAAGGGTTTTCTGCCAGGATCTGTTGGAGGATTACAAGCTCCCACAAACTGTATGCGTTCCAAGGCTACCCAAGATTGGTCTGAAGCCCTATAAAAACCTTTCTGTTCGACTATTTGACGCAGGAACATAATGACTCTTTGAGTTCCGTAGTTGTCCATATCTGGTAAGTTAATCTCATCACAGAACAACACCAACCATTTACCCAACTGAAATAATATGAATAAGAATAAAATAATTAGCTCAGGTTCACATACGGTACCTGGATAGGAGCCAAAACAACTCCGTTGGGCGTCTTTCTGTATTCACAGTAATGATCAAAGGTTTTCAATAATAATTCTGGTGTAGTCGCAGATGAAAAATTCAATCCCACTACTTCCATGTCTGGAAGTGCTCTCAAAGCAGAAAACAATGTCATAGTCTTACCAGAACCAGGTGGACCACACAAAACTGAAAAAAACCTTAATGAAATTACAGGAAATGAATAAAAAGTAATTTCCAAACAAGAATAAAGAAATTTATATATTGTAACATATAAATAGTACATCAATCAACATTAAATATAATGCAGTGGTGTATTTCATTGAGAGAAAAATAATTTACGTCAAAGAAATGACATTCAGTATTTTGTTATTGTCTTAGTGATATTTACTACCTGTCCGATACCTTATCTTTACCTGCAATTAGTTATGAGTGCTAACAATGGGCTACTATTACTACTACAATTACTTTCTTATTTATACCATGTACGTAACTAACATACTGGAAGAGTGAAGAGTGGAAGACCATTAGTCATCCCGAAAACATGTTTGGAAAAAACTCCTGGTATACAGATGGAACGAAGAACAAACATGGAACGGGAGCTGGAATATACTGAGCGGATAGAAATCTAAACTACAGCTATCCGCTAGGACTATACACATCCGTCTTTCAGGCGGAAGTGTGCAAGGTTTATTAAATTGAGACCTCAAAGAAATGAGCGGATAACAATTTTTTAAGACAGCAAGAGCGCACTAGGGGCTCTGACAAACCCGAAGGTGACATTAAAACTGGTCTGGGAATGCCATGAAAAACTGAATGAACTTGCAAATACGAACAAATTAACTGTGTACTGGGTGCCAGGGCATTCAGGAATCACAAGTAATGATAAAGCTGATGCTAGACTCGGATCATCAACTTCATATATGAACCAGCTCTGGGGGTACCAAAATCATTGGTACGAAACCAGATTAGGACAATAAGACCAATAAGAAGCATACAGAGTACTGGACAAAAGTACCTGGCAACAAACACAGTAGTACCTTCATTAGGGAACCGTCCGAGAAAAGAACCGAAGAACTACTTCAATATAGTAGAGATCGACTCAGAATAATTACAGGGTTACTAACCGGTCATTGTCCGCTTAGAGGACACCTGAATAAAATGGGGCTGTACAACGGAGACCTCAGCAGCAGATTATGCAACGAAGGGATAGAAACAGCTCTACACATCTTATGCGAATGTGAGGCACTGAATCACAGGAGGCAGGCAATATATGGACGTACAAAATTACGCCCAGAAGAATATGGCGAATATCCAACACGGAACCTGTACAAACTAGTACAGGGAACGAGACTGATGGAATGGGTATCATGAGAAGATGGGAGAATAAACGTTATAAGCCCAAGAGGCTGCAGTGTTTTCTGGAGACTTGGACTGAATGGACAAGTCAGACAGCTCCCAAGGTAAAAAAAACCATACTGCTTAAAGAGAACAAAATTTGAGTTGGTTGGCCGTGGACGAATGGAACCTAAAATACTAAACAAATTCATCTGATACTGTGACAGACAACTGTAGTATGTGCGCTGATTGCTCGGACGTAGGTTATATCTTGAAGTCAACGCACATATCACTGATGTCTGCTGCAGTAGCTGACGAAATATTTGGTACTTCAGGTTCCATTCGTACCCGTCTACCAGTCCGGACTTTGTTCTCTTTAATTGTGACTCCAGCCATGAAAGCCTATGTTCTTGTAACATAGATATAGTTAATAAATGCTATTTAGAGACTTAAAATCTACGGAGATATTCGAGAAAAACCTAAATTTTTGGAATTATCTCAACTTATTTACAGCATTATTCAAAGGAATATTCAAATACAAATTGTACATTTGCCTTGCCATTTTTTTCCTAATACCTCAACTTTACTTATCCTTAATTTTCCAAAGTCTTGCTTTTCAAATGATACATCATAAGTTACCTATGTATTTGCATTACTCTATTCATTATATTAGATATTAATGAAACAGTTTTTCTGCAGGAGTAAGCACTGATATCTCAATCTATCACTTTACAGTCGAAGCACACTGATGATGACTAGATAATTTTACAATTTCAATTGTTTTTTTTGTTATTTGTTTGTATCATTATTATTACATACATTGATTCTACACTTAATACAGCCAGTGAATTGATTAAAATTTGAATACCAAGAAAATATTTGCTTACCTAGAGGTTTATGTTCCGCTAACCAGGTGTAAAGTAAAGACTCGTGACGAACTGTATCAAGCGTAGGCACAACAATGTCAGGAGAAGCTACTTTGTGGGTTTCCACTTCTATTTGGGGAACCTTATGGGACCATGGTGACCAATCACCTTCAATGGTAACTTCATAATCTATTATCGGCATATTGTTGTCCGGCGGCAAAGGCACAGTTGTCACTGATCTGATGAAATCTCCAAGCTCTGATCTTACTTTAAGCTTAGCGTCACCGGCGAAACTCCATAAAACGGAATAAACCAAACATCTTGGAATATACTTTTCCAAAGAATCGTTTGACAGAGGAAAGTCTGAATGAGAATGGTTGTACTGCAAAACATTTCTGAAAAATAATTGATTTTCAGGAGACTGCATAGACTTTTATTTATCAAAGTTCTACCTTATAGCCTGGTTCAACATTGAAAATAACGAACTTAGAGCACGCAATCTTGTGAAGTCCATGATATGTTCTTGTTCCATGGCATACTCCAAGCAACGCACCACTAAACCATCTGGAGCTAGATAAGGTTGAAGAAGATTGGCAACATCAACTTGCACTTGAAGTGTGGGTGAGAGTACGTCATCTTTCGACTCTGAAGTCTTTCCAAAACTATCATCTTCACCTTCTTCAAGAGGAATGTTCTTCAAACTGAGAATGTAGTTCTCAAAAATCATTTCGGTGGATAGAACGTCTTCAGAGAACCAAACCATGCCGCAACGAGATACTGTTGCTAGGGTGGCGTATTTCAAATCTTGAACCTAATTTACGATACTCAGAATGGGAAAATAAAGACGTATTGAAAAAACTTACCTCAAACATGACTCTAACATTTGGAGGTAGCGAGAGACGCTCTCCATTAGGCAGCGTTAACAATTTGTTATCATCAAGGACAGAGTTCAAATTCTCTACCCATTCTGGATCTACGTCACCATCAAAAATGATCCACTGTCTTTTGTTTATTTCTCCTCGTACATTATCAATTATTTTCCTGAAATAATTGAAGTTTAACAAGTAATACAAACAACTTCAAATTCACTTTCAACCTCAAAATATGGGTGAAGAGACCATCGGTCCACTCTCTGGTGTTGGGATCTAAGACACCGTAGAGTGCCTCCTTGCTTATCGCTTTCGGATCGATGACATGTGCGACACCTTCTACACCTTCATACCTTTCCAAAGCTTTCAGAAGAACACGCCAAGCAGTACTTTTTCCTGAACCACTGGGACCAACCATCATCAAACCATGATTAAGATTGGATATTTGATACAGTTGCAATACCTGTTGGAACAATTTTTACTGTAGTTAAATTAGCAACTAATAGTAAAATAAAGAAACTGAAAGTATGTATTTTGTATTAGAAAAATGTACCTTTGCTACCCATGTATCTCTCTGTGCAGCGTGCAGCATGAAACAAATTATGAAAGTGAATTGTATGTAAAGGGCTTTTTGAATGACACCAAAAAATCAACTCTAGGTCTTTTGTTGAATAGATTTCCAAATTCTATTGGAAATCTATTCAACAAACTGTGCCATAGAAACTTTCAGCATACTATGAGAAAAAGATTATCGAATTTTTATACAAGATGTCTGACTTGGGATACCTTCAACTTTACAACAATTTTAAATACAGACCATGAGAATTAAAGAAATTTGATAACTATCAAATAAATTATAATTCTTTCATTACGGCTCTGATAATCAAGCTAGAGAATGTCCGAATATGCCTCCATTAAATTTTCAAAGTGATCCGTTGTCTGGTTCACCAGAAACGTCTAATGTGCCATCCACCGTGAATCAGCCTGTATTACAGTCAAAGCACTGAAAATTTTAAGATTCATCAGTAGAGCCTGTTAAAATTTTATGTATCTATAGTCAATATATATTCACCAAATGATTTTATTAAAAACTATGATTTTTTTTATGATTTGCTAATTACCTGGGGATATGTTATCACCTTGCAAATATTAATTGGGATATAATGAACAATGTGAATGTAGAAAATTATTCATGATAAAAATTACAGAATTTTCACAATAAATTTTATTTAAAACGCTTTTCGCTACATGGTACCTTCATCGGTTATTTTCAGATTACTTTCTCCCGTAACACATCAACCATAGTTTTTACTTATCATCTCAACGATACACTTATCCCAAAAGTATATAAAATATGTGATCTAGGTGTTACATTCGATATGAAATTAATGTTTTACCCTCACAACAATAACATTACATCTAGATCTTTGAAAATGCTGGGTTTTGTGATTTCGTTCCTCATTGGAATTTTCCACTAATGCAATTAAACTTTTGTATTGCTCCCTTGTAAGATCTCTTCTTAAATATAATCCCCACAGTTTTGTCGCTATATTATTTGTACCAGAATGAAAGCATCAAAACGGTTCAGAATGTTTTTCAGGTAACATTAATTGTCCTGAACTGTCAGGAGAATTTGGGTCAAGTATTTCTGTGAAACAAACTAGAAATGTACAAACTTTTCTCACAGCCATTTGTCACATTTATTACTCCTTTCATGTCCCGGTGAACAGAATACAAAGACATACAAATAGACATCACTCAGACATAGACATATTTGGAAGAACATTACAATCTTTGAAAAATCAATTGTTCAAATTAGAATGGTCTATAACATAATACAGCAATACAAGCAATAACGCTAATATCAATTATATTGATTTTTTCAAGTTTAATCAATTGTCTTTAAACTCAACCTACTCTATCTATCTATCTGTATCTCTTACAGTTTACAAGACCCCCACATACTTGAATTTGAATAGCCCTATACAAATATGATGATAAACATGTTGAATCTCTTTCAATTTTCAACATTTTGAAACATTTGAGAAAACATATAATTTTTCTAAAAAGATCGATAAAATTCTCCAATTCATAACTGGAGTTCACAGATTCCAGAACCGAATAATCACAAATTTTTCAAGGCTTTACCTTTTCCATCCAGGCAGAACCCTGCTCATCTCCTTCGCCACATACCAAAAATTCTTCAGCACAGACTTTCCTGATCTCATCTTTGAGACCTTTAAACAAAAAACAAGTTTATTTTTCTGTGAAAAAAAAAAAAGATCATAATTTACCTTTCATTTCAGCTCTGGTATATTGTACATTGGGGAATACGTCATTCAGTAAACTAAACAGAAGAGGAATATCTTCGGCAACAAGTTTGGGTACCATTGTTTCACACACCGACTGTATCAAAATTTCTTGCTCTGGTAAGTTTTCTGCAATACTAGCTTCATCAATATTTGTTTCTCCTCGTTGCGTCTTAGTCTCTTTAATACGTTGGATTCTGTCTCTCTTTACATTACCGGCAGATATTAACACTGATTTTAAAGCTCTCAAACCAAAATCATAGTGAGATTGATTTGATAGTTGTTCATCACATAACCTACAATATGATTTGAAATCAGAATAGTGGTTGGCTCACAAACAATAAAAAAATGAATGAACTTTTTATTTGAAAAACATACAAACACTTTCAATGGAAAAAGTATTTTTAATGAAATTATATACCTGAAGAATGGAACAATTTTAGAAGCCAATTTTTCAGCTTGTCGAAATCCTTGAGAGAACAACATAACCTCAGCAATGAGCTGTCTATCAGGTGTTGTCATGGCAAGAGATCTAAATAGTTTTTTCAGATTGTCTGGGAGATTTGATCTTCCTGCATATCCAGGATTCATTGTAATGAAAATTGCTATATCTGGGGATACTTTCACTTGTTTTCCTACTAACTCCACACTGATACCTATAAATAAATGAGTTATTATATTCTTTTTTGCCAAATACCTTCTTTGGAACAATCTGTAGACATTCTTATGAAACTTTACATGTATTTAAATCAATAAAATGATCGAAATACTCAAGTATTCTTACTGCAAAAATGAAACAAGTGAAAAAAGAGAAATAAATTCATTGTTATTCATATAAATCAAATAAAATTTCTGAAATTTCAATTGAAAGTATTATTCACGCTGACACGACATATTTTTTTACTATTACAATCATATTGTTACGTTTTCCCCGTGGGTTCGACAATAATTAACCACACTGTACAAGTAAACTCAACATAATTGAACTACTACACTGTCAATACAACACAAAAACTTTAACCGAACTTCAGAGCAATACTCAAATGACTATCGCCTTATTAGCTCACTTCTTACCGCACTTTCAACTAGACTATACTCCTCTGCCTGTTGGTAGTGCTTATTTATCCCAATGGATGTCTTCAGAAGCTGATGCGATACATAGATCGATCAAGAAGTACTAGTAGAGTTGAGCGCGACCTTGGCAAAGTCTCAGTCGATTGTTGAAGACCCCAAACAACTCACCAACTTTCAATAATTTGTTTTTTATATCCACCACAAATTTGTAGGGGGAAACGATGTCCAGTCTCAAAATGAATTCGTTGATGATGTTGACCACTAATACCTTAGTTTCAATTTCACAATTTTCAAGCTTAAATCTCACTTCATCTTGTCCATAAATCATCAATCTATATCCAGTGGCCGTTTCCAGAAAGAGTACTACAGATAACTTCTTCAAACTGCTTGTGTTGGAACTGTCGGCTCTCATCACTGACCTTGTTGCTTCAATATCGACTATGAAGAGACACTGGTGATTATTCAGAAATCCATCAACTCTTGTTACTGTTGCATCCTATCGTGGAAATAGAATACCTGGGGGCTTGGGATGCAGCAGCCAATGTTCCCTGTCTAACTGAATTGATTTTTTTGAACCCTGACACTCTCGTTTAGGTGATCCCTAACGCCAGTCTCGCCTCAAAAGTCACGAAGTGACGTGAAACATAGAATGATCGAGAAGCACAAGCAAAGTTGAGCGCGACCTTGGCCAAGTCACAGTCGATCTATGAAGACCGGCGGCGGCCAGCGTTATTATTTTTTTTTCAATGGATAATTTACAACAATTTACATGTTACATGATAAGCTTTTAGATATAGTAATGCCTGACTTTAAATTTACATAGTACTTTAAAATGCCAATGAATTACTGTACAACTTACTGCCCACTGAAGCTGCTCCATCAGCTGCAGCTTCTTTCTGTGATTTCAGAGCCTCCTGGATAGTCTGTACTTGTTGAGAGACAGCAGACAACATTCTTTCTTCCAATCTGTTGAATTCGTCAAAGCAACCCCAAGCTCCAACTTGGCAAAGTCCAACAAATATTCTTCCCATAGCCTGAAAATCAAATGTCTCATCGCAGTTGAAGACCAAGACGAATCGGCCCAATTGGTTACCAAGAGCTTTGACAGACTCTGTCTTACCAGTACCGGCAGGCCCTGTAAAACATGATTAAGATAATGTTATTCCTGAGAATAGATAAGTCAACTTACCAAATGGAGACCCTCCCAATCTTGCTTCCAAAGCCTGGGTCATTGTCAAATAGCATCTATCAGTAAGTGGAGTCTGTACTAATCTATCTTGAACACCGAGATACTCAAAACCATAATAGAATCGTGCGTTTGCCATGTGAATTGTAAGCTGCTTCAATACTTCAGTTTGACGAGGATCAAAATAGAATCTCATTTCGCACAACCATTCAAAGGCCTTGTTACTGCATACCCCATTCGATATAAGTCGGCGAGTAACAGTTCTTTTATGAACAAATTCATTGATTAAGTGCTCCAATTTCTTTCTTCTCAGTTGTGGTTGTTCTTGTAAAACTGAATCGGCGAGGACATTGAGAGTATTCTCGACTTGTTGCAAGACCTTTTCAAGAGGGCCCTTCTGCGGCTCGCTGTTCATTTTGACTAAAGCAGCTTCAACATCTTCGCTCCAAAATATTTGGGCGGCAAGTACGACGATCTGTGCCTGATATTTGTCAACCCACTGCATGTACAATTTCGGATCGATGCCATCTTTGAATTGTTTGATATCTTGTACAGCTTCAGTGAGATTCGAAGCCAAAGTAACTCTCATTTCCTTCTCGACTAAGGTTAGCCACTCATTAATTTTTGGATGTTCTACGGTAGACACAGGTTTTCCGAAAACCACTTCTTCACCCTCTCTTGATGCTATACCAGTAATAACCGTGTTGTCTTCATTAAGAAGAATGGACGCAACTCCAGCAAACATTTTTTTGAAATGCTTTTGTAGTCTGGCAATATTTTTGCTGTTGCCGATGATTTCCAATAAATCTTCATCACCAACAAAGTAGAAACGTGGAAATGAGGTACGTTCTCTCTCCAAATATTCACCCAGAGCTTTTTGTATCTTTCCAAGTAAATCTGCTAGTCTCTCTAGAGCTCTCTGAACTCCCGGTATGTTCAAGACATCCATAACCATTGGGCTCTTACTAACTTTTTTCATCAATCCCAAAAATTCGGAACTAATACTTTGAAATCTTGATGTTTCAACAGGTAGTAGTGTTTTGATGTCGGCACTTCCAGAAAAAATGCCTTCCAAATATACCCAACGTCTTTGAACATCAATCCAAACATCAAACAAGGCATTAATGCGGTTCAACTTTTCCTCCCAAGTTAGAGCTTCCTCTTCGAAAACTTTATAATAAGGGGACAGCTTCATTGCTGCCACCGAATTGATATGTTCTTTAACCTTATTAAAGAGATCATCCCAGCCCCGAATAAGCTTGCATTTGCTCTGATAGTTGATAAGATCCAACTCATATGTCTGCCAAGACTCGCGAACTTGTTTCAAAAATTCTTCCAGAGCCATTTCTCCTTGAGCAATGAGTATAATGTCTTTGACAATGGATTCGTTCTTCTGTAAATTCACGTCCCAAACTTGCCCTAGTGTTAGGTCGGAAAGAACCCAATTGACTCTCAGTTGTTTCATGAGTTGTTTCCAGTGTCGTTCCTTGAGAGCGTCTGATTTCAACTCCACAATCATCATATTAACTTTGGTGTAAGTTTGTAATGTTTTCTTGACATATTCATAAGAAGAATACTGTCTCAATCTAGCAGGTAGCCCTTTGAGTTGTGCACTCATTCCGTCCAGTTGTTGGCGAAGCTTTCTAGGTTGTACAGACAACCAAGGTTTTTCTCTGGTTTCATCTATTTGCTGCCAGATCTTTGATAATTCTGACCAAACTCCTCTTAAGTCTTGCAATTCTTCATAAACCACCTGCATTCGATCTTCACTGCTGTTAATACCACCAGGATCTTGCAATTCTAAAGCTTCCTTAGCTTTTGCTACATTGTCTCTCTCCTCCTTGAGACGAGCAAATTTGCTTTCGAATAATTGAAGTTGGGAGAGTGCTTCATCTGGTCTCAAATGTCCTTCAACAGGTTTGCTACGTTCCCAATCAACAAGGAAGTCATTAGTGCGAGTTTCTACCGCCTTATCTTCTGCCACAATCTTTTGTTGAAGACTGGCCACTTGAGTCTGAATGCTAGAATCCTTTCTTTTGATAATCTCATTAAAAGCACCCCATTCACCTTCTAGATTTTCAACGTGTAACCAATTAGTAGGAAATTGGAAACGTTGACGCTCCAGAATTCTTTGACCTTCCCTATATATCTCAACCTGCTTCTCCCAGGCTTTCATACTACGTTTTAGCTGCTGCACATAGGTTATGAAACTAACAGCATCTGAAGTGCTGGCTGCTTCAATACTTTGTAGTTCTAGGTCAGATCTCGACTTTGAAACGTTAGCGTGGAAGGTAGTCATTTCGTTACTAAGGAGTCCTCCGAATTTACTGAGAGTTTCTTTATGCCATGAATCGTATTTCAGAGAGACTTTGCTTTGTACTTTGGCAAAGTCTATCACAATGGGTCCAAATTCACGTCGAGTATCTGATGTGTCAAAGGTAGTTCGGGTTTTCCTAATAAAAATTCAATGATTATTTGTGTTTATATAAATGAAAGGAAAAAGACTACCAAACTGTGTAATGAAATTTTGTTTATATAGAAATTAACTAAAATTATTATTCAACCAAACTGATATTGTAGAAAGTTTCCATTTAGAGTATGATATTACTATATTTTCAATAACTAGGTTGAAAAAGTCTTACTTGATATCATTCAGACACTCCATCCATTTACTGATGTCTTCACCTAATTTGCCATAAAGGTTTTCAGCTTGAAGATCCCACAAAGATTGGTAGGTTAACCATTCATTAACATATTTTTGCACCTGATAAAAAACCAAATTTTAATAATTCTAACTTATTTTAATGTTAAAACAAACCTCTTTTATTTTGGAAGCGATGGCACTATAAGCATTATTCAGAGGTTGTGGTCCTCCGGGAAGTTTTGTCAAGATATTCCGGTAAGTTTCAGTCACTGGTTTATCAACTCCCACTTGGTATCGACTGCTTTGAAGGCGTTGCTGTGAAGTTACAATAGCTTGCCAAGCAAACAGCTGTTGCATAATCTGGAATCGAGCTTCTTCTATGCTCGGATATAGGTACATGGTCTGATTGGTTATTCGAACTTCATGAATCACAATTTGTATTTGTGGATCGCCCCCGGGTTTGTGTGTAGGTTGCACTGGGGCATCGGTGTCCATGCTGTGATCTATATCTTTCTTCTGACCACTCAAAGCATCAGTCCATGCTTCAATACCAGCTTGAAGGCGGCGCGCTAAATTTTTCTCAACCTAAAAACAAATCACAAACAGAAAATAGAATGAATGTTGTCTGAAACTTAATGATGGAAATACCTCCTCATCCAGCCTGCTGACCCAAATATGAAGATTTGAATATTGTTTCAAGGACAAGTCATCAACAGCATGTTGAATTTTTGACAGGATATCGACAAAAGTGTTCGCTGAATAGGGACACGTTTCCAATGACCTAACATCAACTTCCAGTTGTTCTCCTACAATGACAAGTTCCTCGACTCTCTCTTGAAAACTCACAATATTATCGGAGAGACGTTGGACATAAGGATCAAGCTTGTAACTCTCCCAGACAAGTTGAATTCCCTCGGCAATAAGAGTTTGAACTTCTTTACGCATGCCTGCGACAAGTGGAATGATGCTTGCCTTGTCTTCAATCTAAGAGGTGGAATGCATGTTTTAGTTATACCCGAAAATAGAACATCAACTTTGCCTAACATAACAAAAATGGGTTCACTTATAAACAGGAATATTTTGTCATTTTCTCAATCACACAAATAACAGTTAATACAATCGACCTAAAGACGAGACCAATAACGCTATCTCAGAAATGGTGGTGATACAAGGTTTGTGAACAGTTTCATTTTTTGATAGACAATGATATGAACCACAATCTGTTTTCAAACAATTAAAGAAAAACTGGTCTTGTTTTGACATTTTTTGTTTCGACTTTTTAAATTCCAAGATTTGCCTCAAAATACCTATAAAAATAGACTAAATGAAATGAAATACAGGGAAATTTTTGTAACTCTACAAGCAAGGATATTATTAGCATATAAAAAAATTCAGACATATACAGTCTGAAGCAGTTAGCGACAATTGTATTTTTGTAAACATCAGTTTATCTTTCTCCAAAACATATGATTTTTGTATAATTCACTGTTTAGCATCTACCATTTCTGAGCAGATTTCATTCATGCATTTATAACTGGACAGAGATTTTTTCAATTAAATAGAACAAAGCAATAGGTATACCAATGATCATCAACTAATTAGAACAAACAACAACAGCGATAGCATATAAATGATATTGATTTGACTTGCATCAGATAAAGAAACTCATGCATACGACTAAAAAAATGCTTCCTCCATGCCAAAAAACTATTTCGCAAGGGATTGGACAGCTATAGGACAATCTACCTTAATACCGCTTGGGTGGCTAATCCTGTTTGTTAGCTAGTGGTGGGATTAAAAAAAATTAAAGCTACACACATCTTACATGTATTCTAGTTATGTTTATGGAATGGACATTCTATTATATTTTTCATGAATCATTTCTAGCTCCAAAATAATATATGTTTCTAAGAAATACCAGCCATTCTAATACATCCACCAGAACGTAATAATAATAATTGTTTTCCTTCAAATTAAAAACAAGATCCATAAAGTGCACCAGGTTAATATTATATTCATGTCTCTGACAAAGAGATTAAGTATACTGTGTCAAAGCTATTTTTTGGGTTTTTTGGTCGTGGTCTATGAAAATCCATAGCGTCTTTTTACTTTCATCCAACTCCCTTTACACATTGTGGAGGAACTGTGTAATCGCTAGAATTGTGGACAATCCCTTGCGAATACCAAAATGGTTCACATTAAAAAATAGACCCCATTTATTAAAAAAAGTTATCATTAGGCTTCAAACATATTTTTCATATATTCTTGAGAATGGGCTAATGAGGGAAATTGGTCTGAAATTTTATATGTCAGTGTCATTTCCCTTCTTATGAATTGGTACAATTTTTGAAATCTTCAAGCACTCAGGAAAAATCCCCTCTTCCAATTGATGTATTTAAGAGTTACTTTGCTTTTGGTAACCTTATTTTTCTGCATAAGAATATTTGGAATGTCATTAAAGTAGTTAATGAATGAAACATATACCTCTGCAGGTTCAATGACGAGGTTATTCTGTACATTAAGTATTATTTTTTCATTTTCTTGCTTTATTTTATCATTATTAGATCTCAGAATATTCCAAGCAGTGACAGATTTATTTTTAGAGTTCACTAATAAATTGGAGTTGTAAAGCTTTTTCGCCTCATTTAGTAATTTTCTATATAACTTTTTATATTTGATATAGTAATGTTTATATCATTACTACCATTTAATGTGAGAAAATACAGATCCTTTAGTTTTTGTTCCGATATCATTAAGCCTTTAGTTAACCATTGTTTCCAGTTTTGTTTGTTTCTTTTTTTCGTCTCAAAGGAAAATCGATTTCAAAATAGTGCCTGAAGGTTTCTAAGAATTTTTCAAATTTAACATTAGCATTTTTACTTGACTGATAAATTTTGAACCAATTTTCCTCTTTGAGTATGGATAAGAACTTTGTAATATTATCGTGATTGTTTATCTCCCTGTGTTCGTAAGTCAGCCTCGTATTTTTGTGATGTGATTCAATATTGATACTCAATATTTGGCAAGACTGATGGTCACTTAGGTTACTAGTAAAGTTTTTGCAGTTGTAAGTGCTCTCCTTTGAATTGACACAAATGTTGTCTTGTTGTCTCCAATTTTTACCACATGTTGGGGAATGAATTGTAGGGATTAAACAGAATTAAAATCGCCAGCTAAAACCAACTTTAATTTTCTATATTTGTCAGTCAGAAACTGAAGTGTTTCAAGTAGTTTCTCAGAGAAGATTTCAATATTTGCAGTGCTTCTGTACACTGTAATAAGTAACACCTCAAAGTTCTTATTTACTTTGCATCTGATAGATGTGCACTCAAAATGTTTCTCATAAGATACAGTGTGTACTTTTTTATTAACAATGCCTTGTTTTATATAGATTACTACCCCACCATGTATAAATTAATTTCTACAGAAAAAATTTTGCTATTTCATAACCTGTGATTTGGCTTGAACTAAGCTGTTCATCCTTAACCCAATGTTCACTCACACAAAATATATCACAATTTACTTCGTTTAATATCAGTTCCAGCTGAACCAACTTATTTTATTTATTTTTTATTTATTCATTATTTATTACCTTGCACATTTTTATGAACTATTTTGAAAGTTTTTCCTACGAAATGTGAAGCGGGTTTATCTGGCTTATCAGTAACTGTCTTTAAAAGAGTTGCGGTTTATCAGAAACTGTCTTTCAAAGAGTTGCTCATGGCTACACTTCCGGTGTTTTGGGTTTTGGAAACTTTAAAAAAGAATTTGAAACATTTTCTAATTTGTCTTTACCTTGTGATAGTACAATATCAGAAAGGTTTATCTCTTGAGTAAAACATGACTGCCACATCAGACTGATGTTGGATATTTTAACAGTTTTTGAAACTATATTATCAGTTGAAAGAGAAAGAAAACTTTTAATTTTAATGAGTATATCAGATTTAGATCCTTTAAATTTTAGGTCATATATGTACTCCAAAGAAATACCTAAGAATCGCTTTCTCAAAAACAAGAGCTGTTTGTGGAGTCTGTTGATTAACCCATAAGTGAAATACTGTGTTTCAATTCTCTGCACACTGCCAATTCTATTAGAATTCTACAATATACATTTCTTTTTTTATTATTATATGAATGTATCACTGTTTGTATAATATACTACTCTATTACTCTGCTGATTTTATATGCTATTATGCAGATGTATCGCTGTTTTAGACAAAACGCCAGCCATTAAAATCCAACAAACTCAAAAAATACATTTGGGTGTGAAAGTTTACTTTCCAAGATTTAACACAGTTAATGTGAGTTTGCGAAAAAAAAAAAAGTTGTACTTACCTTTTCTAGTGTCATCTCATAAGTTCTAACACTTTCGATAAGTGATATGGCAAACGGATAAAGTTGATTTGCCTGATGTGCCTTATTTACGATTGCAAGTGGCACTCTGAATCCAAGACACTTCAAATTACGAACTTCCTTGGCTAAAGTGATGATTTCCGGTAGAAAATTCACTTTTAGTTTCAAAACATTCCCTCTACCGCTTTTGGAACGTACTGCCTCGATGGTGAAAATTCTACCAGAAACCCCGAGATTGCGCTGTTGCACAGTACGAGCCCATTCATCGAATATTTCTTGGGTGTTCAATTTCAAACGAAAACTGTCTCCATCTGCTTTGAGTTTTTGCCCTTCGATGTGATTTTCCCAGCCTTTTCCTGAAATAAAAAATCATTCGAATCATTTTTGAAAACTAAATATGAAATTGAATTCAAAGAAAACAAAGGCAATGGTCCTGAGTACAGAATACAAATTAAAAACCATAAACTATCAACATTTCCACATAACAATAGAAGGTGAAAATATGAAATGGGTTAAGTAATTTGAATATCTAGGTTTTATGATAGATGATAGACTAAGTTTAAAAAGTCACAGCCATTACATCTGAAAAAAAAATATCAAAAAATTTATTTTTCTATCTAGTGTATCACGTAACATGTCTCTTTTTTCCAAAATAACCATCTATAGGACCCCACTTTGACTATTGTGCTAGCCTACTATACATGTTGGACAAAAATTGTTCAATGACTTTACAGAAACTTCAAAATAGGAGTATGAGAATCATTCTGCAATGCAATAAATATGTTCCAATTGATCTGATGTTAAGAAGTTTGAGCTGGCATAACGTAAACAAACGCCTATTTTTCATGACAATGAAGTTTATTTATAGAATAACAAAAAAGTTAGTCCCAAGTTATCTTAGTTCATTAATCACGTATAATAATGAGATCCACACATATCCTACAAGAAACGTGAACAATTTCCATATAGCTCAAAAACATTTTTCTTCAGGGGATTGATGGATACAGCCGTTACTATGTAGTAGGAAATCAAAATGAAGAAAAGACAATCAAAACTTTCTATGTTTTTACCACTTTTATTTGTAACTAACGTTACATTAATGAATACATTAATAAATAGAATAGAATATAATTTATTCATCATTAAAATATCATACACATATAACATATACATTACTGGTACAATATTTATCAGACTAGTCACACAAACTGAAGAAAAAGCAGCTTATACATTCAAATCTTCTTTGAATGTAACCTAGTTGCTTTGTTATAACATATGACTCCTTGATAGCTCGCCGAGTCTTGCCCAAGGGCTAATCGTGAGTAAGGTAGTCTCAGTTCATTTCCTCTGCGAGTATTGTGATCATGTATCATACTGTTTTTTGTATGGTGTGATTCATTTTTTTTATATTCATAGTTATGAGCAAATTATATAAAGACGGTAGTGTTAAAATAGCTAGATCTTTAAAAAACTGTCTTGCATGATTGTCTACAATGTATGCCAGCGATACATCTAATTATTTTTTTTTGGGTAACAAACACTTTTGTTAGGTATGCTGAGTTTCCCCAGAATATTAACCCATTTGAGATATTAGATTGTACTAATCCGAAATAGGCCAATTTGAGTACTTCTAGAGATACTGTTCCATGTAGTTGTCTTATTATGAAGCAGACTCTACTCAGTTTTGTTATTAGATAATCTGTGTGTTTTTGCCAAGTTAACTTCTGATCAATTACTGATCCTAGATACTTATATTGATTCACCTGCTGTGATGTATTTTTATTAGTGAACGATGATCATACGTATGATTCTTTGTTGATAATTCATGAAAACAGTTTTATTTACATTAACAAGTAGACTGTTATTTGTGCACCATTATGAAAATTCATCAGCAGTTTTATTTGCAGATTGAATAGAGAGGAGAAGTTCATTTTCTGCTACTATTTGATAGGTATCATCAGCATATATTATTGTTTTTTGTGGAGATACACGTGAATTTTCAATATCACTCATAAATATTATAATGAGAAGCATGTTGAGCCTTGTGGAACTTCTAATGAGACAGAAGCTGGTTGTGATTTTATTTCATCTATTACCACTATTTGACCTTTGACATAAATATGATGCTACCCATTCATTGGCTACTCCTCTTATTCCCATTCTATACAGTTTCCGAAGTAATAAACCGTGGTCAACTGTATGGAATGCCCGGGATAGATCAAAGAATAAACCATTTGGAAATTTCTTATCATTGAGGTTTTTGTAGAGGTCACACATTTCAAATATCGCAGATGATGTTGATTTTTGCTGTCTAAAACCATGTTGACATTCTGGTACGAGTTTATAGTGTTTAACAAATTTACGAAGTCGCAAATAATAGGCATAGTCGATAACTTTGGCAATTTGCGATTGCAAACAAATATTTCTATAGTTGGTTACTTCATTTTTGGAGCCCTTGTTTTTATATATGGGTATAGACTTTTAATAGAAAGTTTTGATTCTCTTTTCTTCATTCTCCAAGGGCTTAAATGATTTCAATAACCTCTCAAATTAAGTGAGAAATTCACTGTCTTTAAAGACATTCAAAATTCATTTAAATTAATATATTTCACTACCGTATATGTAAAAAAATGAATTATGGAAAGCATGTGTGTGAGTGTATGTGCTCATGTATACTGATTGTACATGAGTATAACGTGGGTATAATTTAATCTCTGATGATTGTGGCACCATAGATGTATTTTTATATTTTAGCATTTTTTTGTTTAGTATCAAGGTTCTTTTTTTTATTACTAATATTATAAATGTATGAAAATTAGGATGGTCCTATTTCAAATGAAGATTAGTAATAATTTCCTAAACGAATGAAATGCAAACTTTCCACTTACCAAGAACATCTTCCACTCGTCGCAGATATGTGGTGAGTTGATGATCAATCTGTTTGGCCCAAACTATAGAACCAGCAACGGGTGGTAGATCACGAACTTTACTGATCTTAGCACTGTTACTCTGAGGATATTGTACCTGAAAAACATTTTTTACTCTAAGTTCTGCTGTAAGCATACCTACTTGGTACCTTGAATTTTTCATGTAGGGCCTCAATATCATCCTTGACCCTTTGTATCAGATGTGTCTGATATTCCCTGATGGCCCCTCTTATATGTGGTCTAACAAAGAGAGCATTAAATCTCGAGAAGATTCTAAACATCTCGTTTGCATTTTTAGCAGTTCCAAGCTGATCACGGAGATGGGCTGTGATTCTTGTTTCTACCCTATCTATCCGTTCTTCATATCTTTGTACAGCAGCATCCCAAGCATCTTGTCCCTCCTTGGATATATCCAAGCAATCTACCTCTTTCACATTCTCATATGCTAAATTGACCTCCTAGTAAACAAGTTATTTAATGAATAACCAGAGTCAATAATTTTAGCTAATAAGTTGGCACTCACCTCAATAGCATTCGCATCGGCCGCATCTAATGAAAATGTTGCTTTTGGAGGTTCTAAGTCCTCTCCCTCTATTGGTGCTACTATTTCTCTAATGGTTGGTCGTAAAACTCGTACTATAACGGTCCGCAATTGCTCATGCTGACGACGAAACTTACGCATCTGGTCCATACGATTTTGCAGCTTCTTATGTTGCGGAGATATTCGCCAAACCATTTTCATGTGCTCATCACGTTTCTTTTTCATTATATCCCTAAAACAAATTGAATATATTTAAGAGTTGTTATCTAGCTACCACTGAAAGTTATTACCTCAATAAAGCTTGCAATTTCTCATACTCGTCCTCCCAAATTGAGAAAACTTCAAAGCATTGGGTCATAACCTTTTCGAAATCATCAAAAGGAATATGCATTAACCTCCTAGTTCCGAGAACTTTCAACAACTGAGTTCCCAAATCTCTTGAAATTGCCTCTACAAGTCTTAGGCATCTTTGAATGGGATACTTAGTTGATCTAACCTTGCGTAAGTGCGCAAAAATCAGCTGTACTGCAGCTCGAATTCTTTCTAATTCAGTTGCTGCTAGTAGATCATTGATAGGGAAATCTTTCATCAGTGGATTGTAGTCATTCACTGTAGCTATCGCTTGTTTGAGACCTGTGTCTGTATCAAATGAAACAGTAGCATGAAAACGCTTGCCATGTTTTAGTATGTCCAAAGTTAGAGCTACCTCCATACTCTCACGTTTTTCCTGAATTCGATGAAGAGCTCTCTCTAAATTGAGCCAGAAACTGATTTCTTGGAGAGCTGTTCCAGAAGAAGGATCCCTATCCAGTTTGGTAACCTACAATGACAATTAAATTTAAACTGATGTTTTATATATATATATACATTCTCGTAGTACTTTCTGTATTTCTTTGATCCATCTATTCACACCATGTTGCAACTGATTCAGGAAATTGGAATCTTCAACTTTGTCGCTGAAATCTGCTACTTTTGGTTTTCTCCCTTCGTCAGCACACTGTTTAATGAGGCTAGCAACATAGGGGTGAACTTGCAAAGTAATTTCAGGAATATCAATATTTTGTTGAAGGTGCAACAATCCCATTTCCAGTTCAGCAATAGTTTTTTCCACCGCTGGAGCCATTTTGTCTCCATCACTGAAAGATGTAATAATGTAACCAAGCATATTCCACATATTTATGAAAATTAGGTATATAAGAGGAGAGTGACCAAATATGGATAGTATCCCTAACATGGAATACAGGCATTTCTATCAAACGGAAAGTGACACTAGCAGTAAACAATGTTCATCTCTTTCTACGTGTCCGCGTTTGCGTGTATAGGTCATAACATGTCAGTCGAGCAAGCCCTTTCATCACAATAGCATTATTTTCTTTTGTCGCTGCCGCATAACTTTCTAAGATATGTAAAAACACGTATTTTTTGCATAAAAAGTGCACACAGTATTGTTGTTATACCTTCTAGACATTGTTTAGATGTTCTTTTGTGGTTTTCAGCGGTATTTGATTGTATTAACTTATTAAAATATAAATGTCAGTTTTAAGTCGTTGGAAAGTCCAAATATGGACAAATCATAGTACCCAATTATGGAATATTCCATAATCGGTTCTTTTGAGTATCAGCTGATTAGATGATTGTGTTAATTATAAATTGAAAGTATTTTTTTATTTTTCATCAGAATGGCTGGCGTCGAAGTTACACCAGTGACAAGACATATTAAGGAGGGCCATTTCAGACACAGTAAACCATCTAAATATCCCGAACAAATAAAATAATTCCACCTAGTCATAAGCTCTGCCTGTAATTGATTCATGACTCACCCGGCACTGACGAGGAGCTAGTAACCGGTATGTCGGTGGTTATCTCGACCAAATGAAATTGATTTCAGCATTTCATTGCTTTCACTCAATTGCTTTCTTCCTTCCTTTGGAAGTTTAACACAATTTTTTTTATAAAGATGAAGAAGTGAAAGCCAAAAAACTATTTCCTTAACGATGAAATCTTAATCTTTGATATATTAAATTGTCAATTTCGTATTTCAATTTCAGATTTTTATCAGTATTCAAAAAATTGACATATTGGCATTATGCTGACGATACCCAATTGTATGTATATTTCTTAACCGAGAATCTATCCATTGCTGTGAGTGGATTGAATAATGATTTGCAATTTTTGTATGATATATCTATGGCACTCAAACTCAATAGAGAAGTCTTTTCTAATAGTTCTTGGACCTAGGAAAAAAAGTGAGAGTGCTAGTTCTGTAATCAATAAAAACTTAACAACGCAATACATATTCAAGAAACACTTTGTGAGATTGTCAGTAAGCAATTTCACAAAAACGCAACACATGTTTTTCTATAAAATAGCTTTTTCATATGTGTCTTTCGGTAAAGACAGCCCTGAAGAAGAAGCTATTGTATAGTGAAACACGTAATGCATTTCTGTTAAATTGTTTAGTGAAAATATATGGATTTTGTATCCAGTATCGGCCGATTCTATCACATATTATACAACAAAATACTTTCACAGGTCAATGAATGCAAAAATTTAGGGCTCTATTTTATAGAGGTATTGATTTTATAGAGGTATCAGTCATCTCTGTCAAACTTCCTACAATATTCTTAGACATCTGTTTCCTAATAAAGATATTCTTTCTTCTAAGTTAAGCTAAAATTATGCCAGTCCCTCATTTTCTCGAAACTGTCATATTGTATTTACGGTCGCGCTATCTCACAAATCGATTCAGTTCAATTCCAAAGGATTCAAAATCCGTGTCTTGACACTGATAGGTTCTTTGGTACTACATGTTTTACTTTTTTTTATAATATTTATCAATATTAATTACAGTAGGTCGGTTGGCGGGAAGTTCGGCGTGAGTGCTTTGTTCACTCTCTCAATCGACAGATATGTGAGTCGATGGTTCAAAACCGCAGGCTGAANACAAACAAACTTATTCTAATTTTCAAGATTTTTTTCAATTATTTTTGCAAGGGCGGGTATAAGAGAAATCGGCCTGAAATTTGCTGGCTCGTCTAAGGCACCACCTTTATGTATGGGAATTACAATGGCAGTTTTTAGGAAGTCCGGGAATATACCTTTCTGAAATGAATGATTTATCGGGGTGGCCAGGGTATGTAGTGCGTCTTCTGGCAGACTTTCAAGAACTCTTTCCGAAATTTCATCAATTCCAAGCGTTTTTTTAGTTGTAATTAATGACATGACTTCTTTCAACTCACTCACATCCGTATCATAAAATAAGATTGACTGAGAAATGGTAAAGTTGCCAAAGTATTTCATCAAGTCAGTATTTTTTGTTATACTCTGTGTTATTTTACTGGCAGCAGTGCAATAATACTTATTCAATTCGTTTGGTATTAACAACCATTCAGGGAGATGCCGAAATATATCACTTTCTTTGATTTTTTTGGATATCCTGAGCTCGCTTGCTTCAATACAGACATTACAAAAAATTACATGGGTGATCTTCTAGAAAAAATGAGCATTTGAACGCATTCCAGAAAATATAGTTACTTACGTGTACAGCTGTTCCATTCACACCAATTGCCTAGTAATCTAACATATTGCTGCAACCATAAATGTTGGCCACTACTCAACAACCACTCGGCTAGAACCGTGCCACCACTTATTGGCCATCTATGTTTTTTATAAGAAAATTATTCTATTTGAAGACAGAAACATAAAAAATAAAAATGTCAACCGAATTGCAGAAAACCCTTCAAAAATTCTTTGTTAGTCAGTTTCATTAGGAGAAATATACTTCAGATATAAGGGTTTCAATTTGAGTAAAATATGAATAGCTGTTTGCTGATGGATGAACTCTTGAACAGAAAAACTATAAATTATTGGTAATCAACACTTGATTGTAATTAAAGGATACATAATATGCCTTAAATGGTTCAGGAAAGGTAATAACGAAAGATGCCAATGTGCCAAATCTTCACCTCTACAGTTCACCCTGGCAAATGATTTCCTAGCTTCCTGTCCTCCAGTTGAAGAGATGAAAAGTTCCAGTAGAGATATGAATATGCCGGCAGGTCTCAAATTAAAAACTGGTGCCAATTTGAGGGGTGTCAGTTTCTGCATGCCGGAGTCTCTAAAACTAACACATTAAAAAACATTCTAATATTGAATAGACAAACGCCAAGCAAATTTCCATGTTGGTATATAATTTCGGTATAAAAATCAATACAATTATTATATAACTTTTTGTTTATTAAAGAATTAACAGGTTACAATAAGTGTCACTTCATTTACATGATATGGCTAACAACAACACTTTCCCTACATCAGTACCAAAACACCTAGTTAACATTATCAGGAGATGATGTTGTTGACTCAATCATATCCTGATGATGCTAAATTGTTTAGCGAATCGCGCAAGGGACCGTGCTTTTGTTCAGCTGAGGAAAAAGTATCTTCTTTAGATTCATTTCCTGCCAGAGGTTCCTACTGCACCATCAAAATTATATGATTGAAGTAATTTTCCCTTAATATTACAATATCCTGAATCTGAAATAATAAGGTTATTTCTTTCACACCAGTCGTCATATGCACTGATGACTATGACTACTGTGACCTCTAGTAGCACAGATGTCACCGCTGAGACCACCATTGAAGAATTGTAATTTTTCAGGCATATCATTTGTAAATAGTAGAAGAAAGTGGTCCCAGTACAGACCCTTGTGGTACATTGATATCTATGTTATGTTGAGCCTTGGCAAGACTGAGTGCTGCCAGTTGCCATTTGACCAGCTTTCTCCAATGTGAAATACCGATATAACAAAATAAGAGAAACATAGAACGGTACTCTACTATTTGCTTGTTCAAAATCTTCCATGAAATGATAATAATAATAATAATCATTTATTGATGCTAATATACAGCAGTATTTACACAAGTCGAAAAGAAAAGAAAAAAAAATACTTTATTAGATAAAAATTTACAATAAATGCATATAAACAAGTATACTTAACAACTAACACTTACAGATATAAAAAAAAATGATGCACAGACATTGTTAAAAAGAATTAAGTGATTTAATGCATGTCCCTAAAGTTATTTTGAAGGTACTCCTCAGTGCTATAGAACGCTTTTCTTTTTAGGTATAGTTTTATTTTGTTCTTAAACTGTGTGAAAGGTAAGTTTTTTACTTCTTCTGGAAGGACATTGTACATATTTATGCAATGATAGCTAGTTCCGTCTCTAGTATGGGAGAGTCGCAAATAGTTTTGTACAATTCTTTGACTGTTTCGAGTAGAATAGTTGTGTAAATCGCAATGTCTACTAAACATGTTTTGATTTTGTTTCATATACAATAGACATTCCAATATGTAGACACATGGCAAGGTAAGTATACATAGTTCCATAAACTTTTGACGACAACATTCCCGGTAACCTATGTGGGCTATAATTCTGATGCATTTTCGCTGTAAACTAAATGCTTTGGATGCGTGGGTTGAGTGGCCCCAATTTAGTATAGCATATGACATAGCTGAGTGAAAAAAACTATAGTAAGCTGTCATTAATACATTATGAGATACACTATATACTAGATTCCTTATTAGATAGATAGTTCTTGAGAGTTTACCCGAGAGGTACGCAATATGCTTTTCCCATGTCAGTACCGGATCAATATAAACGCCTAGGAATTTAACTGGTTCAGAATTAAAATAGCTGTCAGGTAAGTTTCGTAGCGTAAATGTTAGCATTTGAGTCTTACTTTCATTTACGCTCAGAGCATTTGTCTCAAACAAGAACTTTACTTGTGAAAGTGTGTTATGCATATCACGTTGAATTGTTTCTAAATATTGGCGTTGTATAAGCTCAGTTGTATCATCTGCAAATAGAATGGATTCAGCATTCAGACAGCAGTTTGGCAGGTCATTGATGTAAATTAAGAAGAGAATGGGTCCTAGTACGGAGCCTTGCGGCACCCCATGTCTTACCAACTGCCGCTCGGAGGTGCTCATATTATAATTTACATACTGTAATCTGTCTGAAAGGTAAGACTTTATTAGTGTTAGACTGTTATTCTCAAACTTATAAGCTTCGAGTTTTTTCAGTAAGATATCGTGAGACACACAATCAAAAGCTTTTGTCAGGTCTAAGAATGATGCCTGAGTGTATATGTTTTCTTCATATCCGTTTAACACTATTTGTGTAAGATTATTTATTGCCAAGAGGTGGACCTATTGTTTCTGAAGCCATACTGACATGGAGAAAACAGCATATTCTCTTCAAAATACTGTGTAATTTGGATTTTTAAAGCAGCTTCTAGTATTTTTGCAAGAACAGGAACCAAGGAAATAGGTCTATAATTATTTATATCATCAATTGAACCCTTTTTGAAGATAGGAATAACTTTTGCAATTTTAAGGCATTTAGGAAATACTTGACAATGTATACATAGATGTACAATTATAATGTTAAGAAGAGTTTTTATGATTTTCACAGTTATATCATATGGATCTTTGCTTTTGCTATTTTTTAAATTACTTACTATTGATCTTATTTGGTTAAAAGTTACTTTCTTGAACTCAAATTTGACACTAGATCTGTTTATGGCATCGATATCAATATAATCTACTGGGCTTTTATCAGCTTTAGGTAACGCATTCACTATATTATCTGCAATACTGACAAAGAAATCATTGAAGTTGGCCGCATTGATGTTTGCAGTTTCAGATATGTTAAAAACTGAGATAAACAAACAAGTAATGTTGGATGATTCTTCGTCAAGATAGTACTATTTGTCACATATCTCTGATAACAATCGATTATTTCAGCACTCATCTTCCAAAGAGTTCTGATGTATCAATAAATAAATATTTTTTGCTTCCAGTTGATCAATTGTTGCATCGTGAAAAACTATGAAATAAATGAAACAGTACAAAATGTTCTGAAATGTCCCAAATTATGAAAAACAATCAATCAAATCAAATAAATATCCAAAAGTAATTATTTTTGTTCTTACTTACTGTGGTAAATTACCCAACGCTGACAGTCCACTCAACCAGAGCATCACATAACTAGCTTGTGTCAAAACCACTATTTCCGGCATACACACAGACCTTATAGCTTCCAAAACGCCACTGTCAAAAGCTTTACCACTCAGCAAAATGTTACAGACGAGAAGGAGATTCCGGCAGATCTGAAACCTGAAATAAAAATAAAAGTAAACAGTTATAACTTAAACGAATATATGTTTCACGTTACCTGATCTCGGCTTGTTGCTTCAAACAACCCGCTACAACAGATGTGCCCAACTGGGAACTGAAATGGAACATCGCTGATGGGTTTATTTCGTTATCTGGATTGGCTAGTGTGTTTTCGTATCTTAAAAGTTCCAAAACTTTGTGCATGGCTCTGTATAAATCAACGATGTTGTTGAGCATGTTCAAGATATGAGATGTGAACTGTAAAAATGAGTTTCACATTATAAATAAATACATTTTACATATATGGGTATACAACGATATACTATCAACGTGTTGGTCACAGAACATTTCAATTTATCAGGTAGAAGTTAGTCATACAATAAATTCAAATCCGAACTTGGGTCTACAGTAGAGGTGGATGTTGATGACAAGGGTGTTCCTCAAGGTAGTGTTTTAGGTCCACTGCTTTTCATAATATATCTTAATGATATTAACTTATTTGTGGACTGTGAATTCATAAATCTGTTCGCAGATGATACATTATTAGCATGTAGTGATACAGACTTGGATAGAACTATTCACAAAATGAATTCCATCTTAGTCAGTGTTAAAAGATATCTCGATATCAATAAATTGAAATTAAATGTAACTAAAACCAAAGCCATGATAATTACTAATAAATTTAAATACAACAAAATTGGGATAAATAATTTAGACATAAATATTGATAACAAGAAAATTGAGATTGTCACAAATATAAAATACTTAGGAGTCCAACTCGACAATACACTTTCTTTTGATAGCCATTTCGACTATGTTCATAAAAAAATTTCAAAAAAATTATACTTTTTTTTCAAGAATTGCTAGTAATTTATCAACAGCCACTAAAATAACAGTTTATAAAGCAATTATTCTGCCTCATTTTGACTATTGTGCATCAATCATATACTCTATGAACTTAAATAAAATTAATCAACTGCAGAAATTGCAAAATAGAGGCATGAGAATTATTCTGAGATGTAATAGATACACACCAATAAATTCAATGTTATCCACCCTTCAGTGGCTGCCTGTATTACAAAGGTTACTGTACTTCGCAATGATATTTATTTATAAGATAATAAATAATTTGTCTCCTTCTTATTTCATGAATTTGGTCAACTACAATTATGAAATCCATGAACACTATACTCGCAATAACTGCAATCTACATATTGTCAGAACAATATGTAGATCTACATATACGTAGATCTACAATCTACATATTGTCAGAACAATATGTAGATTGCAGAAGTAGTATGAATTCAGTATTTTTTAAAGGCTTCATTAAATTTAATGACCTACCAACTGACGTAAAAGACTGTTCATCAATAAATGTCTTCAAAAGACATTTGTTAAAATATATAAAAGAAACATAACTTACATTTGGATAAAGTTGTAAATCTATGTTTTATATGTTAGTTTTGATTGTGAAATATTTGAATTGATTCGGTATAAATCTTCTAATGTTACCTATATAACTAGCATTAATAATTAGAAATAATGAATATTATTTGTAAAATAATAACACGGAGCGATAGAACTATTTATTGTTACTTGTAATAGTTTTAAAATTACTGAATAGCATATATTAGTTAATTTTTCTGTTCTATCTTTTCCTATTTTTTTTTTATTGTATATTAGGGAAACCTATTTCTGAAATAAAGAAAGATTATTATTAATATAAGCCTAACCAACCTCCCTGTAACAACAGACAATGCTCTCCAATTCATGAAGCAGTAACTAAACCTAAGAAAAGATTTAGTGGTATCCAAGAAATAATTCAATTGTCTTGTCGAGACCTTATGGAAAAGCTTTGCATCAACTTCTTGAGGAGACATCAGCAGATTCTGTATCCAGAGAGATAACAAACTTCTCCTGAGCAGGACTGAAAACGTTCAAGCTCAAACAATGATTCACTAAAATCCAGAAACATGAACACCTGTATTCAATGTATCGTCAGGTGAAGCTGATATTCAAAAATCCTCAAAAGATAGCCTCCTGTAGAGGCTCATTCATGAAGATGGTCCACAGGTACAATTCCACAGATGTACACTTTGGCTTGTAGGAAGTAGCTTGTGTAGTTAGTACCCTGCAGCCATAGGAGAGCACTTTTCTGAAAAATCACACAGGAAAACAACTTCCTAAGCCATCTGTGTTGCTTACCTACTCGACAGAGGCAGTCACAGTCTGTCCAGCGATCAAGTCCTCGTTAGATTAGGGACAATAAACCACGGTCTGTCAACCTTGGAGTTGATTATTCTTCGCAAGGACAGTTCAATCCATGGTCAAACATAAACCTTCGCTGTTAACGATGGTGCCATAACTGTGCTGGAGAGGATGAATTTTGGATTACATTTTGGGATTGGGTACTCTTCCAACAAGCTATTGCTCAGCTGGGTTACTTTGAAGAACCTGATACAGTTGATAAAATGGGACAGAGAGGAAATCCTCCTATAGAGGGTGAGAGTAACCAATCTTCCAACCAAATATAGGAGGAGTAAACCACCGGCCCATACTCATATTCTCAGAATGCCTCAGGCTGAGGAACAGTCTGGTTCTCAGGAGATAAAGACAGGTAGAGTCTTGTCAAAGGAACCTGGGATAAAACTAGACTTAGCTCCTTGGCACCTTGAGGGTGGCAGGTGAAGGTGTCCCAAATGACCTTCCAACTTCTCTTAAGATCAATAAGTAATAAGTTGTCAGTGACACTTCATTGCATTTAAGTGTTCAGAGGCAAAGTCAGAACATTTCAAGGCTGCTTCATAAGTCCACAGAAAAAGTTCAAGGACGAAATGAACCTTGCTTTCCTGCAGGGCAGGAATTACAGAATTTGTATCCAGATTGACAAATATTCATGGTGAGGTAATAGCTTATCCTGAAGTGAGACCCAAACACAAGAAGGGTACAATGAACATCTTCAGGCAGATTTAATGAACACGTCCAAGTTAAAACGTTTCAATGAAGTATGATTTGAATATATCATATCAGCTCAGGCTTGAAGAGGTGTACAGAGACAGGCTTGCCTGGCTATCTCTGGTGCCATCAGCACCACACCATCAAAGGCCATGGAAAACCTACTAGACCTACACCCCTCCACATCTTCCTGGAGAGAGAGGCATACAGGCACATCCCTGGTACCATTAGCACCACACCGTCAAAGGCCATGATAAACCTACTAGACCTACTCCCCTCCACATATTCCTGGAGAGAGAGGCATACAGGCACATCTCTGGTACCATTAGCACCACACCGTCAAGGGCCATGAAAAACCTTCTAGACCTACTCCCCTTCCACATTTTCCTGGAGAGGCATTCAGCATCCAGAATTGTGCATACCAACCATGAAGGTCTTAGAAATCTAAGAATAGCCTCTGACTTAATGCCTCTGTTAGATACATACTGCTTGTTCCCACGTAGATATGACTGGATGCTTCAGAAAGAGGAAATATTAAGAGCAGATGGTACAGGTGTATGCAGGCACAGCTGAGGAAGCAGTTGTACAGCGAAACACGGAGTTACTTGTATACTTTATAGATTTTCATCAAGTATCGGCCAATTCAATCATATATCATAGTTACATTCAATTATGAGTACATGACGATCACTGAACTATCATTAAACAAATTATTATTAGTATCACTTTTGAATTATGGCAATAAACTCACTTGACAATCCATTTCCGATTGAATTTTTTCTAAAATATTCTCCATTACAATATCCGGTACTTGCAAGGTAAACAACTCCTTTTCGAATGCTTGAATGAACATTTCACTCATTTGTTGTTCCAAATAAACCAACACTTCAAAAAGTCTCATAACATCGTCGGTGGTTTCTACATCTACAAATAAACATGAATATATGATTGTCTTCTATTTTGTCTCCCGTACCTTCAGCTAACATTGAAAAGTTGACAAACTGGTCGCTGTATGTGCTATCGTTACAGAGAGTCATGTGTTCCAATGGATCCAAAGGCCTCAAGAAAGAAAAGGAGGACTTTTTGAGAAATACTGCTCCTGACACAGAAGGCAAGAGCATCAAACCCAAAGGTTTCAGACTTGCTATTTGGTACTGAACACAGCAAGAATAAAATTTCTGCCAACACCTACAAACAGAAGCAAAAACATTAACCTGTTTATATCAAGTCAGTTTTGGCATTAAATATATGATACGTTCTCTTAGATCTTCATACAAACTTTGATATTTTTGACCACCAAATGCTATAAGACAATTTAGAAAAATATGGATTTGGTGAATTTTAATGTAAATGTTTTTAATTAACTCGATAGTAGCACAAGTGACACATGAAATATACAAGCTGTATGAGTATTCATATGAGCAGAAGCAAATATTTCGTTTCACACACAATTTCCTAAATAACTTTCAATTTATGTACATTTCATTTTTATTTTTATACCGTTTTTACATAATCTACAATAGTTGTATGCCCCAATACATAACAAACAGACATATGCCTCTGAATACTATAAATGCATTCATGGAAAGTATTCTACCTTATCTCGAATCGTTTTCAATGGAAAGAGAGTTGATATCGACTTTATTCATTTGTGCAACATAAATATACCAAGTAAATGACAAGCTACAGTTTTGAATTGAATTAATATTTCTTGATGTTATCTATATCATTCGATTATTATAATCACTGATAGTACTTAGTCCCAAACAGGCATTTTTTCATCATAAAAACTGTAAACTGTTTCCCTACATTCTGTACAGTATGTAGTAGAAATACTGTTGAAAATATAACGTTGTGTTGAAATAAAAATTCATGGGTTTTCCCTGTGGATTCGACAATTATTGACCACACTATACAACTATTAAACTCAACTTTAATTCACTACTACACTGTTAATACCCTACTGAAAGTCTAACTTAACTTCAGACTGATACTCAAGTGTCTATCGCCTTATTAGTTCAGTCCGTACTGCACTTTCAACTAAACTAACCCCAATATGTCTGTTGGTAGTGCTTGTATATCCCAATGGAAGTATTCAGAAACCAATAGGAATATTCTGGAAGCGACGCGACATCTATAATGATTTGAGAAGCACGAGTAGAATTGAGCGCGATCTTAACCAAGGCATAGTCGACGAACAAAGACCATCGGCGGCCGGCGTCATTTTTTTTCAGGGGATAATTAAATGTTAATAAAACAAAATGCAAGTTATTAGGTAGCAAATATTGTTTGAGACAACTGCAAGATGAACAGCTGTCATTGAATCTTTATATTGATAATGTCATCATTGAAAGGGTAACTAACAACTTTTAAATATCTGGGAGTGGTATTAGATCAAGAATTGAACCTTAATGCGCACTGTAGTTATATTCAGAAGAAAATAGCCACAAAAATTCATCTTTTATATAGATTGAAAAATAAAATAAGTGAATATGCAAAATTACCAATTTATAAATCAATAATAGCACCCCACTTTGATTATTGCAGTACATTACTTTATTTTGTGAGCAATGAAAATCTAAATAGACTACAGAAGCTTCAAAACAGATCCATGAGGGCAATATTAAGTTGTAATAAACGCACATCTGTGAAATGCATGTTGGAAACACTGTCTCTTATGTCTGCTAAACAAAGGATAACAATGAATATGCTAATATTTATATTTAAAATTAAACACAATATGTTGCCAAATTATCTGAGTGATTATTTTATTGTTTTGTATTTTATAAGTGACTGACTGTACTATGAAGAACATTATTTGCTAATAAAGAGTAATAATAATAATAATTCACAACACTTGTATACATTTTTCTAGATATTTACTAGAAGTGATATCACGAAAAATTAATGTGACAACTGCCAGTAATATCAAATGCATAAAGTTACCAACTCAGAAATAATAAGTGTGATCCAAACAGAAGCCTTTAGAAATACAGTCAATTCAATCAACTTACCACTCTGCACATTCTAGATATTCATCATCAGTTACATTTGTTCCGTTTAGAGTGTTCTGGATTTCATTATCGACAGCCAGGCATATCCTTTGTTTCAGTATAGAAGCCGAAATATGTGTTTCTGCTACAAGAGTCGATCTTTTATAAATCTGAAGTATATAAAAAAATCATTTGAAGACAGGTGTATGATCCTGATGTTTTCATGGAAGAAATATACTCACAGATAGAGCTTTGGTAATGATATGCATAGGAAACCGTCCAGGGTGGAAAATGTGTTGCAAATAGATCTGTCTCGGATCGCTCTCTCCATCATTGACAGGTGCTTGATTTGCGTCTGGTATTGTTTCCAAGACAACCGGAGCCCAGTTACTAGATTGTAACAAAGCCGAGTGGCGAGAAGATTGGCTCATTCCTGGTTGAAGAGAAGTTGTGTATACCACACATTCGCCATCTTCACATCTCCATGCTGTCCACAAACGATTTGTTTGGAGAGCAAAATCGATGAGGTCACTCTGGAAAAATTATTTGGTTGTTTCACAAGGAATCGCTTTTTGCAATATACACTGAGGGACAAAGAAACTGTCGCTACCAAAACTTTGCTACTATTTAAAGCCTCATAACTTTCAATGCGATTAGAGTGAATTTTGTTTTATTTCATAGAAAAAGTTGTTGGCATGACACATAATTTGGAGTGCCTGATCTTATCAGTTGTTTTAAATAACAGGTAGATATTTTTTTTTATAATTTCAAAACGGCCCGTGCATTTCACCAGCACTCAAGTGGGAGTGAGGCTTTAGAATTACCAATTACTCTATTTTTCATAATGTATTTTGAAAGCATCAATCCATTGGAATTGGCCGGGGTGGTAGTGCGCCCGACTCACAATCGAAAGGCCGTGGTTTCTCGAGAGAATGTATCTGGTTGAAGCTGCAATGATTCTGCAACCGTGTTAGAAATCACACGTTAAAAGGTAAGACCTCGTACAAGTTTCTCAACTTCTGAGAGTTGTCTTTAACGGAAAAACAGATTTTTAAACAGATTATCTTGGTGATAATCTATTGTATAACTCAAGAGGAATTTATTAAAGCCGGACTATAGATGGAATTCCATCTTTCTTACTGAAATACTGTATCCCTTAGAGGTTTTTTTCAACTTTTGCTGGGATTAAAGACATTTCCAAATGTGTAAAATCAAGCTAAAATTGTCCTTGTCTTCAAGTCATCAATAATCATCCTATTTCTGTTTTGTCAAATTTTTCTTTGCTATTTGAACTGGTCATATATAATCGCAAGTATTCCATAGTTACAAAGATAATGGCTTCATCTCAACATGGTTTTATGAGTAACAAGTCAACGGATTCCAATCTTCTTGTATTCACCAACAACTTTCAGATACCCTCAATTCCGGTTGTCAGATGTATGTGAGCTATGATGCCTTCTCATAAGCTTACGACAGGATTGATCATTGCATTTTTTTGGTAAAACTATGATTTTTAGACTGGATGTTAGTTTAAGCTACCACTTGAAACAATAATCTAAATCTTTTGAAACAATTGAGACACAGTTTATCAAAATCCCAAGCCAAAAATCAATCTTATTCAAATGCTGATAAAATCCACGGGGCATTTTGAAAAATAGTAAAAGAGCATCTACCCATTAGCCAAGAAAAAGAAACACACCACTGATATAATAAAGTACTCTAAGTTATATGTTATTATTTCAACAAATTATTCTACAAAGCAAGTTCAAACTCCTACGTTGAAAGCTATATAGTTCTAAAAAGTAGCAAAATTTTAATTACGTCAGTTTTTCTATCTTCGGTGTATTTTGAGAGTGTTGGGAGAACGCAACCATTTTCTCAACTTTTTCAAAGATTGAAACTTAGTACAGCAGAACTATAATTATCCAGACTAACTGGAACCTAAACTAGTCCAGGTCACTAAATATCCAGATAAGTGGATTTGAATAAACTGAGGCTCATTTTAAAGGAACACACCCAAAAAATATTGACTCTATGTAGGATAATAATGAATAGTTATTTGTTTGCCTATCTATGCCATAAAAAAAGCTCTGAATACTTATTGTTTGCAACCATAATTTTGTTAAAGAAATCCAAATTCTCAAAAGTAATTTGGATAATTGTCGTTTGGATGATTGGAATTCCGCTGTAATCCTTATAAGAAATGTAGTGTTATCATTTTAATGTTCCATTACCTCTGGAGAATGTCTCGTATCCAAACGATCCACTGTAATTTCCTGTCCTCTTATAACGGGGCTCAAAATTTGAAACTGACATCCATTAGCAAAACTCAAAAACACAGCCAACAGACTTTCGCTGCTATTTCCGTCGACAGCTTTCCTTAAACTTGCTGAAACCAACTACAGTGAGTTCAACACCATTAAATATATATTCCAAAAAAATGAAAGCATATATTTTGAAACATAGAAATATGAACCCTGTCTTTTGCCATTGTATCACTTGAACAACCAACAAAATATTTATCATTATTAATACCTGATTGGATCCTGGTTCTTGAGACCTCTCCTGATTTTTCAAGAATATCAACTACTGCCACACACTGTCCTTTAGCACAAGACCAGAATTTCAAATGTCCGTCCCTACTCAGAGTTAACACATATGTTTCATAATCCACCACGTAGAATAAGAGACTGACTATATTGCTTCCATCCGAATTTTTCTGTCTGCAAAATAGAATTATGATAATCGAAGACATTTTATAAGAAACCATTTTACCGAAATTTCTCTGCAAGTCCCGACAAAAATCTGGGCATCAGAGATTCGCCTTTCAATTCTGTGGCGACAACTTGTCCATCATCAGGGTTCTGTTTGATAAGTAAGAGTTCTGTAGACGGATAAGCTAGTACAAAGAAGGCTTCCTCAGTTTCAGGAAACAAATAAGAACTAGCCAAATTTGGAAGTTGGTCACCTGAGAACAAAAATACTAAACGTTTACTAGTTACTGTAATACTATAATAATAAACTGAATTTCAAAAACAAATGATACCAAAAACAGATGATTGAAAAAAGAACATTTTTAAGAGATATTAGTTTTTGGAAAATATCTTGCTACTTCTGCACTGTTGATTGTTATAAGTCAAAAGTCACCAATTAAATATTTCATTTCGTAATAAGATTACTCCAATTATTTTGATAAATCTATAAACTTATCTCAATGTGATACTCACTGGCAGTACTGGGATTACTGAACACATAAAAGGTAGATGGATTTCTTGCATCAATTGCTGAAGCTTTAGAAAAAATTGATGGAACAGAAAGATCTGTGTAAGCTCCTAAAAGCTCGTCCTGCAATAAAAATAACTGTTGGAAAAACCAACCACTATTGATGTTTTACCTTACTTGTCTGTGAAATCTTTCAGGATGTGGAAATATCAAACGATGTACACTGCACACTGTAGGAACTAAGACTATCACATTTTCATATGTTTCATATATTGACACTCCGTCTAAAATAGGAGTGTCTGTGAATCTGTACCTCACTCGATTTGCTGTTAGATTCACATCAAGACTGTGTTCCACTAATTCCAGAATGTCATAGTTGATTCTCCTGGAAAATAAAAGTAAACTGAAAATAAGTAAATTCAAGGTAACAGAAATGCAAGGTAAAGTTGACTATTTTTAGGTACTATTGAACAATAGCTCTTTTGGTTCCAATGATTTTTTTGGTTGTACCTATTTTCTTTATAAATATAAATATTGACAATCTCTTCAAAGTTTGTGGTGAATACTTTCGATTAGCTACAAGGATGATTTTTTTATGAGGTGACATACGACTTGGGTTACCTACAATTTTAAAAATTCTAACACAGACCTGTATTTTTTATAGCAGTTTACATACAGGGTCATAATAAAATAATTATTATTTACCTAATAATCATAAAAAGTAGATATTTGTATTTAAAATTTCAAAGTTTATGATGCCAATTCGAACAGAGCCCTGTATAAAAATTGTATGAACGTTATTAAGGTAAATTTTAAGTTCTTTGAACTAATTTTCAATATTTCTGCGAACAAAGAAGATGCAGGCAAAATAGAATTTGGAATTTTTCATTTCTCCCGTATATCATTGAAACAAAAATAACTATAGTAGATTTTGCAGTATCGTTCAATAGTAGATACACAAAACAGGAACCTCTGCCACAATTTACCAATTCTATATATCTTACCGTTTACTAGATCCCCATGCATATACTTGAATTTGAATAGCCCCATTGCATTGAACATGGTACTTACCAATAAATAAATCTGTTCCTGGTATGGTGTTTTGTAGAATCTTCGTAACAGAAGCCATTTGCTCTTTCAGCGACCTTTATGTCTTGGAGAGTACTTTGAGTCCCACCTGAAATATAGTTTGGAGTAAATTTAAAGAGAAGGCAGGTTATGAATGTACTACCTGTTGTAAGCGTAATTTCTTTCCAGTTATCGGAAACAGTTTGATCTGGTGTGATTTCACGGTAATTTAATGTAAATTCGGTCATTTTTCACTACAATAAAAATATAAACAAATTCGACCGTTATGTCTGAACATAACCCTCCAAAAAATCAAACATAACCTAATTTCTTTCAAACCATCTACTTCTTTTGAGTTCATATACAAAATACTGTGTCAATATGGAGTTGAGGCTGATTATAGAACCGAAAGAGGCGTAATTTTGTATTTAGAAAGGTGGAAATATCATGCCTATAAAATTTCAAACATGGTTCATTAATTTTACTTGAAAGTTCTGAAGTGCACACATTGAATTCATTTTCACAAACTGTTGCTTTATCAATCATTTCTACCTTGGGTTTTATTTCTTCAGAAATGAATTCACTCTCAAATGCTAATATTATAATTGGTTTTCCATGAGTTCAATTTGTATCATATATATAATATATTATGTATTATTTTTCTGGTGTATTACTTGCAATGAATTGAAATCATTGGTACTTTAATATATTAGAGTGTGATATCTATGATTGAAATGTTCATTTCATATTCAGCAAAATGATATTTTCTTTTCTCAAATACTTGTTTTCAACAAATATTTTAAATACTTGTTTTCAACAAGTATTTAAAATATTTAAAAAATCAAATTCAGAAAATTTGTACTGAATATATTTGAAATTATGCACATTTTTTCCTAATGGGGTCATCCTTTCGATGTGTATAATCGCTGGATGAGGTCAGCATCAAAGACAATTTTTTATATATCCTTGGTCAGCATGACTTTTGACATATTGACTCTGACATAACCTCATTCTGCCTTTTGTCAAATGTTAATGTCACTGTAGATTTTGAGCAAGTAATATCAATTCATTGTGATAAATATTTAATTTCTATTTGAATGAATACAAATAAATCATGTCTAGGGAATTCCAGCTTAGTACTTCACTGTTTGGTCATTCTATGGATATAAGAGCCATAACAGTAACACAAAGTAATGATATCATAAGCGGCTCCAGAGACAGAACAGCAAAGTACTGGAAATACGATCCGTAAGTGAACACAGTTTTTTCAGTTTCATCGAAGTGGATTCATGCATCAGTCTTTAGTTGTAAGTCGCAAGTTATATCACTGAGTTTTTCAACATTAATATTCATATACCAGCCTGGATAACACATCATATTTACTTTCTCATAGTATCAATATGAATTCTAACGTCTCAAAACTTGCGATTTATGACTTGAAACCGAGGTAACAATTAGTACATTATTCCAGCTTTCTCTGTTTAGGTTGCACAATAACTATCATGAAGTTATGACTTACCGAAATCATGAAAACTTTGTTGGAAGTGTACTATTCTTGGAGCCTACCAAGGAATACCCTGATGGATTAGTTATAACTGGTGGATATGATAAAGCAATTTTTGTTTACAAGCCCGGAGAACCTTTTCCTAGTTTTATGTTCAAGGGGGACCATACAAACACAGTCTGCGCCCTGAGTAAAGGATTAGAAGAAAACACATTCTTCAGTGCCTCTTGGGATAATACCGCAAGATATTGGTCCATTGCTAACGGCCAATCTAAAGCCCTTGTGACTTTTACTGGTCATGAGGCAGCAGTTTGGCATGTTAAACAGCTTAGTGATGGCAGAGTTGTTACTGCATCAGCAGACAAAACCATAGGAATGTGGAGCTCTAGTGGACAAAGACTGAATACTCTTGCTGGTAACGTTTATCACATATTTAGGTGAATGTTCTCTCAATGGCTCACGGTAGATTTTGTTCAGGTTTTCTTTGGAGATTCAACGCAACAGAATGGTGAAACTTAAAAAATTTGTTTCTTCAGAAATTCACTTCTGGTAATAAACACTCGTAAAATGGATACCATATTGTGAGTCTTTATTCACAAATTTTGAATATGTTTACATAATAAAATAAATCTATTTCTCCAAAATAACTTTTTTTAGAATCATATTCTAAATGGTACTGCCGATTATTTCATCAACGTCTAGAAATAAAAATTAGGTTAGATGACAAACAGGATCACCACGATTCCTTTCCTATTCATTACATTGTAAATGGTTTCTTTTGATGATTATACTTTCCCAAAGCAAGTTAATATAAGTTTCATATTGTATGAAATATTGATTTCATTAAAAAATTACAGTGATAGAAAATTTTGTAACAAGAACCTTTTTAGGTTATGGTTAGTTTGTAACATGACTGTGTTATAGTTTTTTATCTCCCGTTTGCTACTAATCAGAGAGCAACAGTTTTTTGTTTCTTGAGTGGTCATATTTTTTTATTACAGATTTGTGTTCAAAAAAATATGTAAGTCCAGTAAAATTATTTTCAAAAACTAAAGCTAATTGTCGAAGAAACCTTTTTCAAGTTTGATGAACATCTTATTTTTCAGGGCATAAAGATGCTGTGAGGTGTCTAGAAGATTTTCCAGAGCTCAAGTATTTTGTCAGTGTCGGTAACGATGCATCTGTCAAGGTATGGAGCTATTCAGGAGAAAATATGAATACTTTTTACGGGCATACGAATTTCATTTACAGGTAAGACCCCAAATTTGTTCAGTAGTAGCTATTATGATTGGAATTGTTTAGATCTACACATATTTTTATTTTGTATTTCACACATTCATTATATTGATTACTGAATGAAATCTTCAGGAAATTCATGATGTAGTAATGTCAATCTTATTATTTTGTCTCAAGAGGTAGATGTAAAAGTTCCTACAAAGTTTTTTATTATTTCCTATGAAAATTATTGAGCATATACTTCTTCGTTATCTGAAAACGACAAGAGCTATAACTTTGGTGAAGTTTGAATATAATTTGAAGGTGTTTTTTCAACATAAAAATTTTGTTCACAACTATTGACAAGCCTCAGAAAATTAGCCAATGTTCAGTCTCAGAGTACATCTGAGCATAGTAAGCACATATAGTAACTTCAAATTTTTCACTATAACTCTAATTTCAGTTCCTGAGAACTTTGAGCTTTCACAAATCAACAATAATAACAGGATATTCATATGTATCATACTGTCGGAAAAACTTCAATTCTTGAATTTACCAATATTTAATAAACAATTGTTCTATGCTACCAAGGTATCAACTGCAAACTGTACTATATTGAAATCAGTAAGGCTTGATGATGCTTCGAAGAAGAGAATGAAGAGCAATGGTTATAAATTGATCCCTGTGGTATACCTCTCAAAATTATCAATCCAGAAATTATAGCATAATTTCGACATATTTATATTCAACAAATTTTCTGTGACATTTTTTATGTCCGAAAAGATAATCGAACTTACAAATTATTTGGCTTGAATTTAACTTTTGTGCTTAGTATAGCAAGATGCAGACCTCATGGTTTAGATAGTTTTGTAACCTCAGACGAAGATAGGACAGTTCGATTTTGGCAAGGCGGTGAAAATAAACAGACAATCCACCTACCTGCTCAATCTGTTTGGGCTGTAGCATGTTTGCCAAATGGTGATATCGTGACTGGATCCAGGTAATGCACTCACGATCAAAGTTTAATCGAGTATTTAGGTTTCTTTCATTATTTTCAGCGATGGCATTATCAGGGTTTTCACCCAAGAAGAAGGTAGAGTAACGGATGAAGTCAACTTGGTGAAATTCAATGAAGAAGTCAATGCTTTAAAGCAGCAAGCTTTACAAGAAATTGGTGGGGTGAAAGTTTCAGAGTAAGTTAGAAGAAAGTAGTATTAATTTGTATAGAAATTCACATGAGTAGAATTATTTTTTTAAATAATTTCTTGAAAAAATAAATGTTTACGTTAAAATATAGGATTTAACTCACTATATTTAATACAATATAATAGTTATTCCGAAAAAACACTAGTTTTTTGTTTTGTTATCAAAATAATTTCTCAATAATTGCAGAACATCAGTTTTAAAACGGGAATTGAAATATTTTCAAATTCACCTGCGTCTAATCCAGTCTAACTCCTTATTTTATCAACAGTTTGCCAGGTAGAGAAGCCCTCTATGACCCAGGAAAAAGAAATGGGCAAATGAAAATGATTCGAGATGGCAAAAACGTTGTAGCCTATACATGGGTTGAAGACGGCGAAAACAGCCACTGGGATAAGGTCGGCGAGGTTCTTGGAGGCTCTGATAAGAATGAAACTGGAAAGACCACGTATGAAGGAAAGGTATTCATAAATGAAATATTTTTGGTTATTCAATCTAAAGTATAACACTATGGTTTCAGTCTTATGATTTTGTTTTTTCTGTCGATGTGGAGGATGGAAAACCTCCTTTGAAGTTGCCTTATAATAAAGGAGACGATCCTTATCAAGCAGCAAATAAGTTCTTGACGAAAAATATGTTGCCGGCAGAATATTTGGAGCAGGTATTTAGTTTCAAAAATTTTTATTATGATATTCGTAAGTATCAAGTTTGTATTTCTATCTATCCGTGTTAGAAATCACGGTAAAACCTCGATACTCCTTAGCTTGCACAAGTTTTTACTTTTGAGAGTTGTGGTTCGTAAGGGGACAACAGCTGGTTAACGGAAAAACAGATTTTAACAGAAAACAGATCTGAAAATACAAATGATATCTTTTTTCCTGATTTTACCTAAATTGATCTCATCTTCAGTTTTTTATGTGTTAGTCTAATCATTGATTATCTGATGAAAAATCTAGTTGAAGGCTTATCGAATAGTTCATTATTCGTTGACATTTGTGGTGTTCGCCGAAAAAAGGTAGATCAAGTGTCAAAAAATAAGTTTTGACTTAATGATGGTTTCAGACGCTTGAAAGCATGCTCTTTCACCCCTTTTTTGAAAATTTTGAAATTTTCTATATTGGCCTTCCCCAATACGTCACCAGTCAGTGTACCTACTGAGATGTTCTTTTTTTCAAGGTGGTTGATTTTATTCTGAAAAATAGTCAAGAAAAGTATGTTCCTCATGTCAGTAGTGAATACCAAGATCCATTCACAGGTGGTTCAAGATATACCCCTGGTTCTAGTTCTGTGAATCAAAGTCAGATAGGTGTTAACTTGGATCCATTTACAGGTAAGTTGTTAAATCCACATCAAATTACATAATTAGCATGGACATTCCATCTTAAATGTTTATCTACCATGACCCCCCAAGTATTTTGCTTCTTGATTTCATCCTATGGAGAGCATTGACATTTTTTCCATTTTATATTCTTCATCGATAACCAGGGATGTTATAGGCGTCTGTTCTAAAACCTCACTTGGTTGAATTATTGCAAAATTAATCTTTCCAATGTCAAATTTCAAATCGTCCATTTAAAAAATATAGTGAAATTATGATTCGAGAATATAAAATAATGCTAACCTCTATGGCGATAATGTTTACTCCTTGGATTGATAGAAACTTGTTGCCGCCTTGGAATTCACTGAATACTCATCACCTATTCGAATACTTCAGCTAATCTGATCTGAGTGTGGAAACATGTACTCTAAGGATATATAGGAATTATTAACAAGGGAGAGGGGTGTTGAAAGTACGCTTTCTGTAGTGCTCAAGGTCAAGTTATTGAGGAATTGAACAAGGTCATATGACTAACACATAGCTCAAGTTTAAGTTTAGTCATTCAACGCCAAGAATTTACATTGGAGAAATGAGGATGATATTCAAAGTTGAGTCAGGGATTGACCTAGAATGACCTTGATGATAATTAAGGTCGGTGAACTGTGTGACCCCGAACGATATTCAACATGGTTCATCAAGGTCATATGACGTAGTTCAAGGTTACAACCACAGTCACCTGGAGGTTACATCGTCAAGGTCATGTGACGTCATTTAAGGTAAAGTGGTGGGGGGAGGACTATGGATCGGTATAAATCAACTACTACATCCTGTTTCACATTCAGCTTCATGTATAAAGAGTGTATCTTTTTTCGGCTGTTCACTTTGGAGTATCGAAAATTTTGTAAATTCAGTTTCATGGATGTTCAGGCTCAACAAGTTGTAGTTTAGCCATACTTGGATAATCTGGAATAGTTCTTCAGAATCTGTGTACACCTTGTCCCAACAATTTCCATACCATAGTAATGCAATTTCTCCAAGAGCTGAGAACGTTCACGGCATTGTTTCAGAGATATTGTATTGAAGTCTATCAGCTGTTTTTCATAAGACAATAAATGATAATGAATATATTAGAACAAAACTCTTTTTCAAGGCGGCAGCAGCTACTCAACGTCTCTAGGGAGTGGCGGAAGACCCCCTACTGCTTCTTCCAGCCTGAATAATGTTCCTGTAACTGCAAGTTCTAGTTCTGTCTCGAAAAATGCTGCTGGTAACTTCTTTCCTATTACTTCTTACCGCTCCTTCGAAGTGGGAGATCCCAACGTAATCCTCAATAAACTCAAAGAATTCAACTTGAAGACTGGTGATGGTAACGATAGGCTAAAAGACGAAGAGTTGGAAGAAGTCGTGAAGTTTTGTTCTGGCCCTCCTAATGATGGTGGTAGCCTCGATTTACTTCGCAAGTTACTCGATTGGCCAGATGGTGAGGAAAATATTTAGAATTTCAAGTGAATTATTTTGATGCGTCTCCCTTTTTCAGATATAATTTTTCCTGTTTTGGACGTGATACGACTAGCAGTTAGGGATAAAGTCAACAACAGAATAATTTCTTCGATGAATAACGGCATCATAATGGAAAAACTGAAAAATTATATAACAAATAGTTGTACAGTAGTCAATAATATGATTGTGTCTCTCAGGACCATTTGTAATTTATGCTTACATGAACCTGGCGAGAATTTAGTGTATAATAACAGGTTTGACATTATGGAAAACTTCACTTCTTTGGGACAACTGAACAAAAGCGGTCAAGTGAGTTCTTTTCCAATATTTTCAATTCAACTTCTTCATTAAACTCTCTTCTTAGGTGGCTTTGGCAACATGTTTACTGAACCTGACGATTCTCACCATCAAAAGTAGTGACGAAATAGGGTTTTCGGTTCTAGCTCAAGTTTTACCCGATATCCTAACAAAATTGACAGATACCGAATCCCAGTTCCGAACTTATGTGGCTTTAGGAACGTTGATAACCTCATCAAATAGTCACCAACAAGAGATCAAAGCAAAGATTAATGAAAACTCCAATTTTCTTTCAGCTATGCAGCTCCATATGTTTTCAGGACAAAACGATTTGGAAAATAAGCGAATGAACTGTGTTAAGCAACTGGTGATAATTCTTTAGTTGGCTTGTAATAATTCTTAAGCTTCAGTTATTTATGGAAGAAATTAAATATTTTACTGTGATTTTCTTTTCCTACATTTAGGTTTTTCAAATAATACTTCAAGTATTTCTGTTGAAGAAAAATTTGTTACGAAATAACTTCTCATTGATATCAGAAATCTCAGTTTTCTAATGTAATAGTTATATTTATTCACAATTAACGGTGCGTAGCGCATATATTTGTTTGAGGAGAATTTTTCCCCATCAAAACTGATATATTTAAACTTAATCATAATTTCTGCAAATAAAAAGTAACTCAGGCTATTTTGGAATACTTTCACTGTGTAATAAAATTTTCACTTGATTTGAATACTGATATTACTTCGATTCCAAATATCAGAAAATACCCTCTTATTTTCAAATGAATATGTACAGGTTTTTCAAGTAAGGGGGATAGCATAAAAAAACCAGAAACCAGTTAAACTGCCAAAAAGTTGCTCATTTCAGAGCTTACTTGAATGAAGTTTTGACATGTATTCATTCATGTATTCAAAAAAGCCAATATGTCTCCAGAAGTAATGGGAATTTTCAAATTCTAAAACTTCATTGGAATATGCTCTAAAATGGGCAACGTTTTTCTAATTTAACTTGCATTGTATCTCTCACGGTTTCTGATTTTTCTATGCAGACCCCCCTTATTTTGGAACAGAGTATACCTTCATTAGGTATCTAGTCAAGCCCTGTGGACAGTCTATTAGGAAATTATGTTATTTTGTTGAAGACATCCCCAGTTAAGTAAGAAAAGCTAGAACTGAGATCAAATTCTCATAAGTAAAATTGTACAAAAAAACTCATTTGTTGCAATGAGTGATATTTTGTTACAATTTCCATTTCAAATGTTTTCTGCCAATTCAATGCTTATAAAGGAAATGAGCTGTTGCAAATGGGCTTTTCCTTTAAGCTTGTACAAAAAAAATAATCTGTGAAAGACAACTTTTTCATAATTTTAAATTTTTTTCCTTTCAAGTTCATTATATTTTGAATCGTGAGGTGAAAATTTCATTATAGATTTTGAAATCAGGTAATTATTGTAAGATAATAAGCTTTCATGAGAACAAAATTCTTATTGTCTCTGATTGGGAGATTTTTTATATAACTACATTGAAATCAAATTCCATCTAAGAAAACTATTTAATGAATAGGAAGATTATTTTTTCTCCATAAACTGTTCACCAGTAGAATATATTCCCCAAATCCCATTTTGATTGATGTTTTACCATGTGTTCAAAAATTACTTCCTCTCCAACTATTGTAGAGGTCAGCAATTTACAGATTACAATAGTGCAGGAGGTGTTAAACCTCTAATTAGCATTACTTTGGAAGATAAATTCAGAGGCTAAGACATAATCCTTTCAGAAACAGATAATTAGTCAAATAATTATGAAAGTTACTATAGAACCAATATTTATCTAAAGACAAATACAAAGTCTTATTCAAAACAAACTATAATTGTATACACTTCACATTTTATTTCAAGTTTTCTAGTTCAAGCTCCTTCTGCAGCATTTTCCTTTTGCTGTTTAATTCTTAACCTTTTCTCTCGTTCGTACTCCTTCATTCTTATTACAAAGCTAAAAGATACAAACAGTTGTGAGACTTGAATATTATTGATTGAATTTATGTCTACAAGTGGGATTATCAATATTGTAAGAAAATTGAATGCATTCATTATTTGTTTTAATGGCTAGTGCTAGTTTTGAGAAATATTTTTTTTCATTTACTATTATTTATTTTTATCTGCTGATCTCAACTCTGAAATTAAAACTTGGTGCTCAAGTCTACCTTTGGGGATAAAGCTACATAAAAGTCAATAATTAACTATTTTAGTAACTGAATTTTGATAAAAAATAAGATATCTTCTTCGGAAATGAAATATTTTGAAAATAATTTACTTTGGTTTAAAGTTATTATTTAAATTAACTGCAACTTCATATTTGAGACCACGCAAAAAATTCTAGAGCAATCTGAAACACATTCAAAATGTTGATGAATTTTTGGAACCATTAAAAGGAATGAACTTTTCTTCTAATTGATTGCCTGAAGTAAAAATCTCAAACTACCATGTTAATAGTTTATTAATGAAAGATTGGAACTTGTATGTTATTGCTTATTCTATTTTGAGTTTTCAACATATAAAATGATGATTTTTGACTGATTTCAGATATTCTTTGGTGACATATCTGTAAATTTAGTGTTTCTGTGTTTATTGTTATTATTAATAAAAGTTTATAAAACGTTTTAGAGTGACCCTAAGTAAAATTTTCGAAATTTTCAATTCTGAAGCTTGATTTTGAAGATGATATTGCCAACAAATAATAACAGAAATGGAAGTAAAGTGATAATATTATTTAAAGCATGAATAAAGAAAGTGGTATGGTGTACCTTTTGGATTTTTGAGTGGTCCTATTTCTGAAAGAAGACTATCAAACTCTAATGCGAGCCATTGAAACAAATAATAACTTCTATCACAGCAAAATACATTTTAAACGGATCGAAGTTATTGACATAAATATATTTATTAACGATTTTACTCACTCATCGTATTTACAATTGAGGTACTCGTGCTTTTCATGTGAACAATTCACAACCCATGGAAAATTATCTCTTCTGCAGGTTCTGAATTTCAGAAGTGAATGGGCGCAGTAGTCACGGTCTTCCAGTGGTAACTTCGCAGACCTCATTTCTTCCTCGGTCGCAATCATGACTTGAAAGAGCGAAATTATGAAAAAAGGACCGTGAAGTATTATGAAATTGTAACCTACCTCTTTCTTTTCTCCCTGATTCGAAACCTAATAATGGATCAAATGTAGGTTCTTCGTGGGGGCTGGGAGTTATTTCAGGTTTGAAATATAAGTCAAACCCAGTCCTTGGGACATGTCCAAAGCCGTTTCCCATTTTTACTAGAAGTAAAAATTGAATAATTCAGGAAATTCTAGTTATTTTAATAATGAGGTTATGTTATGTAAGAAACTGACACACTAATGACAAATTTTATAAGTGACACTGACAGTTCTGAAAGAATCTATAAGTCAATCATAAGTCTTGGATTTTACTTATTGTGCCGATAGATAGAAAGGGGTTTTCATTTTCGGAGATAGAACAATATATAATTGTAATGGGTGTCATAATATAAACTCATTGTTTTTAGCTCCACTTCCACACAAAAGTGATAGGGTATGAAAATTCCCCAAACAATTATTCATAATAATGTAAAAATGGTTGTACACGCTCAAGTAATTTTTAGACGTCTTCTGATTTGCCACACTAATATCTTGACGTATAGTTGTATAGTATTAAAAAGATTTGAAAAAAAAATTGAGTTCTATGAAATTCATATTGCATCTGTATCTAATGCATATGAAGTTGTTCATCCTTATGGAAACCTGTGGAAACCAACTCCTTGTGGAATGTTATACAATTTTTTTTATCACAAGTAGAATTGGGAAACTTTGGTATAAAATAAATCTATTGAAAACACTTTTTCTCATCCGAATGATGCTAACTTGGATAACGAAACAAGCATTGAGAAAGATTATTTTTGTTCAAGTCTCTTAAATTATTATGTCATTTTAATAGGCCCCATTATGAACGACAACCTCCAGGAGTCGCAATTTGTGCGAACTGAGGATTAATGAGGACGTTATACACCTACCTTATGCCGGTGAATCTTCAAAGGGGGTATTTTCTAATTTAATCGACTTTGGATCTCACGATTTCTAATTTTCTTATGCTGGCTCTCCTTATCTTGTACACTTAGTATATTTTGGTTTACTTTTATGGTGTTCCATCATAATTAATTTGAATACATTTTTCATTTACTTCATAATCATTGTTGACGTGTTTAGATAGGAATCAGAATCAGATAAGAATCAAACACAACATATGATCATGTTCAAGTCTGATCTTCATTTAATACCAATATAAGCTTCATTCATCATATTTTTCAGAAGAAAACTCAATCAGCCCAAAGCCGAAAATTGAAAACCACTATCACAGTCGTAGTAAAGCTGTGTAGTGACAATAAACCGTCATTCATCATGAGATGCCTATACACTGGTGTAGCGACTCATTCGTGTGTTACACGATTTCATATACATGGGACGAATTCTCAACAAAGAACGGTAGTTACCGTTCATTTCGCTGTTCATGTGACAGTATAGTGTGGCGTATTCTACAACGTTATGATGTAGATTGAGAGGTAGACGTGAATTGTGATTTATCATCAAATCTTTATTCATCAGTTTGAGTGCGTTGTGGAAAAATTGTATCAGTTCACAACGCAAACATAATAATAATACGATGAGTGAATACGTTTACTTTTCTCTTAACACCAGACAGCGCTGTTTCGAGCCGGCGTAGTTCTATGGTGCTAGGCTGAACTATACGCTCAGTGCTGCTCTGAGGCAAAAAAAAATTGTACGCAAATGACAGATGAAAATGTATGCTTTTCGCTATAATTGTATAGCATCAATGGTCGCCAACACTGTCATTAGAATAATTGACAAGTGACAGCTTCCCACATGATGCAAAGATGGAATAAAGCGATTAGCGCTTGCGCAGGCACTCCATCGTATGTGAAATGTAAATATTTTGATGGTTATTGCCAATATATTGATTTGATCACTATTTGCATTAATATTAATTGAAAATTTTGTATTCGCTAATCTAGCTTTAGCTTATATTATGTATCAAATCAAATGACAACACAAAGTCTCTCAAAACAAAAATCAAGAGGAGTGAGGTGAACTACCAGCTACCATTCATAACTATTTATTTAAAGATCGTCATTTCTTTTTTCTCACTATGGATTTATTTTTCTTTTAGCGTCAGCGGTTTTCGACAGATTTGACACTTGACTAATCTGAAAAATAAGTGCTCTGTGATCGTGATCTATGACTTCTATGAGTTCTATGACAGACGGATATGCCTATCATAATGAGACGGAAGACAGAAATAGACTGATTACTCGACTATCGAAGGACGAAATGATTGAAATTTGTAAATATATACCCTGGCCTCGTTCGAATCAGTTCAAAACTAAATGAAGTCAAAATGTATGCTTTTCGTCAATGTGGTATGCATGTGCGAAAGAATATTGAGTTGTATAGCAATTCGTACAATTGTATAGCCGGGAGCAGCCCTGTATACGCTGCTGAAATCAAGTGACCTTAAAGGACAAGGCTGAGAAAGTAATGTCGATGACTTTACGAAGACGCCATCTATGGGATCGACAGAGAACTCAGTTCTCGAATATCAGATATAAACGGGACTCCCCAAGGCGATCAGTTGCAAAGCCAAGTACACACACCACCAATGTGCTGCTGGTCTGAACTGTTCTCAAAGGACAAGCCTGAGTAAGTAATGCCGGTGACATCTCCCCTCACGAATATTGTCGAATAAATTTAATGCAGTTTACTACAGAATTCGTATATTCATATCTCTATAAGTTTATGCGTTCTATGAGTTTCATCTACCTAATCGGTATTTTGATGATATAATGAAATTTCATTTGTATTCATAGAAATACATAATTTTTCTGAAACCGGTTTTAATTTCCTCAATTGATTTTGACACTAGGTACCGTATTCGGTGTATTAGTCACATTCGAAATTTACAGAAATAGGGAGAGTAGTCACAATACCATGGAATAAAGTTTTATTCTTTAACAGAAGAAAATTGCATTATTGAAGGTTCAAAACAATATAAATACTTAGAACATTCGAAATAAAAAGATAAATATTTTATGGAGGACCTATTTCACAACATCATATCTATCTACCATTATGATCCTGCGCAATTTGCAAAAATAGGTACATGCAGAATTGACATACCTTTCTCTCTCTTGTTTTTGTAGTTTCTACTAGTTTCTGTCAGTGTTGGTTCCATATAGAAAACATCTAGTTCGTTGTACACTTGTGTTACTGTGATCGATTCGGTTCATAATTTTTGATTTTCTATACTCCATACAAAATGTTTTTATACCTAACTAATTGGATCTCTAGAAGTTTGACGGTCGCTCTTTTCATAGGTGAGTAACCATATTTCGATATATGGGCACTTTCATGCCCTGAAAATTTGTTTTGACGAAATTTATACAATAAATAATAGGATGTAGTGCTATGGGTTTTCCGTCAATTATCTTTATTCCTCAAAAAATCGCGGTTATACCCGTGGCTACGCATGGGGTGACGTAAAGGCTAACTAACAAACAACATGTGAACATTATTGATACTTCTACAGGGTGAAGCTCGAATACAAAATTGTGTGTATGTGCTTATGAATAAATAAACCACGCACTGTACATAAACAAGGTCGATTTAAAAACGTCCCATTGGGAACCCTCAGAACAATTCTCATTTTATTTATATTTCTTATCATCTTCAAAATTATCTTTTTAATTGGATCATTTCAGGAAGATGTAACACAATTATAAGGAGATAATATATTCACATATGTATATTTGTCTAGAGCAGGCGTTCTCAAACAGTGGGTTGTAAGCTGTTGCGACCCCCAGGGGGTCGCGTTAGGTGTCCAAGGGGTTTCGAGATGTGATGTAAAAGTAAAAAAAAAACTGTTATTACTGTAAACAAGTTTTTTGTATTCTATTAGTGAGAAACACGAGCTTGTTTGGAGTTAACCAATTTTTCAATGTCTGGAATGACAAAACAATGTAATTTTTCAGTTTCAATCCTGTTCACAGTTGTGAGATATAGAAAATGGCATCACAGTTTTCAATGCTGTTGTGGACAGTTTTGGGTATTCCTTTTCAATATCTTTCCAAAATCTGTCGATACAAGCATTATTAAAACTAAAATCTTGAACTTGAAGGAGCGCGAGGTCAACAACTGTTTAAAAAAATCTATTTAAAATCTGTTTTTTCGTTAATCAGCTGTCGCCCCCATACAAACGACAACTCTCAGAAGTTGAGAAACTTGTGCGAGCTAAGGACTAACGAGGTCTTACCTTTTAACGTGTGATTCCTAACTGTCATAAAACTACTGCAAGTCTATAAAATCAGTGAGGTCCACTACTGCCTCTTATAATAAAGTCATTCAAGTGAAAAAAATTAATTTTCATTTTACCAGTTATTAGTTTTTTATGGATAAAAACTTGGCCATAAGTGCAGTTTTTCAATTATTGTTTTAGAGTTAGAACTTGGGGGTCACCAAAATATTTAGCCTGAAAAGAGGGTCACAGTGTCTAAAAGTTTGAGAACCCCTGGCCTTAAAGAAGTTTATTCACCTTTAAATATATCATCAATTATGCAATACATGATCTCGGTTTTTCAGAGTCAGTCCCTATTGATGTAACTGTTTTTCGGACACCACTAGATGTCATTCATATATTACTTTGAATTATTCAAAAAATAAATAAACATATATTTTTTTATTTGTTCTCCTTGTGTGTTTGATCTAAACCGAGAAGATGAGGAAAGATCGCGAATGTAACACACAAAAAGGAAAATCGCGGACACGTGGTTACGATAACCTGGTTACCAAAAATGGGAAACATCACATTTGCACAGTAACCAACCGCACATTTGTCGTTTCGGTTAGAAGTCCTAGCATTTCATTAGCCAGAAAAATGTATTCGCGGTTTGTTTTATTTCTGGGTGTTATGACCCCGATCTTGTCCCTTCTTGATTTAGATCAAACACACTCGTTATTAACTTAGAGTATTTATATTCCGGACCGGGAAGTCACGCCGGTAGCTATAGCTACTTACGCGATCATGATGATTCCTAGGAATGCCAGGACTTCTAATTGAAACCACATATATTCGGTTGGCTCCTGTTGCAGACTTGTTGGTATCTGTTGGTCAATATATACAAATTGATAATAAAAAAAAAAAAGGTAACAACGGGTATTTCCCAGGGAACCGTTTCAGGGCCATTGTTGTTTTCAATTTATACAACGATTTGTTCTCAGCAGAAGGAATTATATTTTCATATATCAGACGATATGCTATTATATATACTTATGAAACGTGGGACGAAGCGAAGAACAGTATAGAACAAAACCTAAAAAAGAAATAAAGAACTATTTAAGTGAAATGCAGTTAACGTTTTAATCCAGAGAAAACTATTCAAGTAACACTTTATTACCAATTCGTTATAGATATTCATCAAGCATAGGCCACTTCCATCATATACAGAGAAAACTAAATTCTTAACTTCATTTTGCAGCAAATCTGAATGTCCAAAAAGTGATCATCTTACCTAAGAGAGAACAATTCACTTCATATGATTAAAAACGAAACTTATATAACTTACCTCGGGATTGAAATTGTTAGTCACCTCAAGTGGGATATTCATATCAATAAAGTGGTATGAAAACTTTTGAGCTCGCATTTAAGCATCTGAAAAATATGGCACAAAAGAACTAGGGCTCTGAAAATACTTTAGAATGTGCAGGAATTTTCCGAACTAAATATAAATAGTGAGTCAACATTAAACAAATTTAAATTTAGAAATGTGATTTTTTTCCAAGCTGTTAGGCGAAATCTTTGCTGATCAAACTTTTGAATAGCCTGTGTAAACCCCTGGCCTCAGGGCATTTCACTTTATCGTGAGATTCTCAATGAACAGTTCACAAAACCTGTCACTAGAAAACGTTATGGATTTTCATCAAGTATCGACCAATTCCATCACATATCACAGCATTTTATTATTTTCTACAGTTGGATCCACGAAATAAAACGCTAGACATCAAAAAATACTAAATAAAACATACTTTTATGTATAGTCCGTTCATAATTTGTTGATAGCTCACTGCAAGTTTGACCCTCATTAGAGAACTGAAATACAGAGAGGACAGCTAATATGATATAATAACAAAAACCAAACTAAAACTGGCAGTTTAAGATGTTTTCGACTAACCCACCTTGTATCTGAAGAAATACAATACAGCTATAAAACTTTTAATCCGATTATGTAGGTATTTTGAGTGGAAATGAGTGACCAGTGTCGTAGAGTATATGATTAAAACATTAGTTACTTTAAATAAATAAATATATT